TTACCGAGCTTTGGCTCATTCCGTTATTGTATTTATGTGTTGTTCGGGCAAGGGCAAAGTTAAGCCGATCGAGGATATTATCGGTTCTCGTTAAAAGAGGCTCATGTGTCACTCATAAAAATAGGAACATCTTTTGTGTCAATAAAAAGGGGTATGGACCTAGGTTGAAAATTTTTAGGCATTTTGAATATGTTTTAAATTATAAAACTATCCGTAATAATGTTGTAAATTATATTATGCGTTTCCCATGGTTTAGTTTCGTTGTGTACGATGAAAGAAGTAGGAGACTTAGTCCCAACGAGTGTGTCATACCGGTCACGCCTGTTAGGTAATAGGTAAGGGAGCCGGAGGCGTCACATATCTATTCAATAATAATCTTCTCATTGCTTAATGTTCATATCTATTAGTAAAACCAACCATTCGTTATTTCAGCTATTGGAGAAGGAACTGTTAACCTAAGTATAGGGAATAATGATAATGTACTATGAATCATTCAACTATAGCTAGCTTACCATAATTCCATTTACTATTAAAAAAAACTAAAAGATTTGAACTCTTGACTATTCATTTACGACTCATCTGCACTAAGATTTATTGTACACTAAGAGACAAATACATTGTGCGCTCTTTTTTGTTGCAGCCATTGGATCTTGTAATAATTTACAATCTGTTAGTAAACTAATTAATGCCAGCCTGTAAATTCGAGCAACCTTGGCTACCTGTAACACTGCCCAAACCCTTCCCTCTCCCACTCCTATAACCCTTTTCCTATTTCTCTTTTCTAGTTCGCCTCACAAATCACAAATCTCTTGCATTTCAATTTCTCTCACATTCTCTCATTTCAAAATTTTGAAATTCCCATAAACAAACAAATGGTACTCTCAAAAGCAATTATCATTGTCGTTTTGGGCCTAGCCTTTGCTATCCTCTCTATTCATGTTACCGTTCCGATGTTTGTTCTAGCTTGTGCACCAACCACTGATGTTGTCGAGATCTCTCGTTCCTTGGGCTTCGTTTGAGTTGTAGTCATATTGACTGTTTTTTGGATATAGAATCAGGATCTAAAGGAGTTACATGGAGCTAGAAGTCTAGGTGCGGTTTGAGATTAATTTAGAGTTTTATTAAGTAATAACATATTTTATCAATGGTGGATCTAGGATTATTTTTTTAGCAAGTGTTATATATGAGTATTTTAGAGGTTCAGTGTGAGTGAGGTTTTTGTCATGCGATTAATGGTGAACAACTGATTATGAATTTCAGTATTATTATGATTAAATTTATTGATATATTTTAGCTTTAATCATCCTCTTAATTTATGTTTGTCGTTTTTTTGAATCCATTATTATCTGATTTTATGTTTTAGTTGATCGAAATTTGTGTGGTTTTCATATCAAACAATATAACTTTTTTGAACAGTAGAAAATGTAGCTCGCAGACCAAGAATAATTTTCTCAAATTTTTAGTGGATTTACCATTTATCTGATAGATGTAACAGCATCTAGTTTTTATGTGGTTATTGTCTCAAATTCATGACCTCTTTACAAAGAAATATCAAAAGGAAAACGTGAAGAAAAAATTCTTGGCATAAAACAAGATCTATGAGGAATAATCTAGAAGACAAATAGTCACAAAGAGTAAAAAATGTGTATAATTTGGTTTAAAAAATATAAATTTTCATATTATGAATTAATCAATCTAAACTAATGGTAACAATAAAAATATTAAATATTTACACCCACAGATAATAATATATAGGTTATAAAAGAAATAAACAATATTAAGGTAAAATAAATTTATCAGATGTGGGAGACATAAAATAGAATTCTTTATCATATATTCCTGAAATTTGAGACTTTTAAAAGATTGACATTCCTAACTAGCCAGGACTAATTCTCTCAAAGCACCAAGCACAGATTCCAAATATCCATTATAATTGTAGTCATCAATGCTCTTGCAATGATTATTTCTCTTGAACACTTATGCATGAGCGACCCAACTTCTCTTAATAATCACATAGATTTTTTTGGAATCCATATTACTATAATGTTTTACTTTTTTGTTTTATGTACTATTTTTTTTTATCTATAAGATCTTTTTTTGTGATCAATGAGTATTTTTTACAATTTTTTTTTTTAAAATTGAAATTCAAGCATTTAAATGATCGAAATTCAGCTAGGAAGGCAGATGTAAAGACCCAAACTCCAAAGTGCCTTTAGCGCCACACCTCTCTACGTGAAGATTGAGATTTTATAGAGGATAAGAATCAAAACTAGCACTTGTAGGCTTTAGTTAAATAAATTATAAATTAGTCCCTTTATTTTGGAATAATACATTAGTTAGTCCTTTTATTTCAAAAACTAATTATTTAGTTATTTTTATCCATTTCATGTTATTTTCTAATTTATTTTTCTTTTTATTTTAAAAATAGAGAAGAAAAATAAATAAGTTTATGTCATAAAAAGAGTGATGAAAAAGGAAATATTTTATGAAATAAAATATATTAGATTAAATATGATCAACAATTCAATACTAATTAAATGATTAAATAATTAATTTTTGAAACAAACTTGACTAATTAATTCTTTTATCAAAACTAAAGGGACTGATATAATTTACACTCAATTATTCATATTGCATCTGTCATGGGTGCAACGCATTCAAAGAACTGTAAATCAGGCTTTAATCAAATAAATTATAAATTAGTCCCTTTAATTTGAAAAAATAAATTAGTTCATCCTTGTTTTCTAAAAAAATTATTTCTTCATTTTGTTTACATTTTATGTTATTTTTAACTTGTTATAAAAATTAGAAAAAGTAAATATTTATATTTATATCATGAAAAGATTGATGAAAAAAAATATTATGATTCACAAGTATGTGGTTGAAGATAATATTACCACTCATAAAGTTCACAAATATATAGTTTTGTATCTTATGATTCATATGGATATGGTACCTCATTAGACCAATCTATTTTAAATTCACAACGTTCTTTAAAAAAATGGATCATCTATGATTACTTCAATATTTGGACAATTGGATTTGAGAGGACAATATATTTATGATTATAATTTTGATGCACAAGAATCACAACATCAACATCAACAACAAAATAATAACTATTATTATGATTCCACAACGATATTTTTTAAAATAAATATTTTGTTCGGTGTATATTAAAATTGTAATGTATTTTATTATTATTTTTGTGATATTAATCATTAGAAGTGTTATTAACTATTTTTTTATAATAAATTCAATTGTTGTTATATGATATTAAACTATTATAGACATTATTACTTATTAATGTGCTTAATTAATAAAGTTGTTAAAAATATATAAATAAGAAAAAATTTAATAATAGTTGTTAACTTATTCACGATATCAATTGCCGCAAACGTTATTTTACTATTACAATAAACCATTATTCGCAATCGCAATCGCAATCGTTTTTTCAACTATGACTATGATTTAAAACTATGTCAATTACTCAATACAACTATTTACACAATACTAATTACGAACAAGTAAAGTGTATAAACTAAAAATAATTTTTTTTACTATTCACAAAATATTAATTACAAATATGTTAAGTGTGAAAATTGCATTTTATTTTAATCTAAATGGTTAAAAGGATATTTCAAATACTTTATTTGTAGTCCACTAGGAATGATCAAGATATATATATAAAAACTATTGAATTATTGATTTTATTAAAAATTAATTATATATCTTCACATATAACACCACTATTTGCTATGAATTATTTTTTTAACATTATAATCAATTTTTTTGAAATTGAATAATTAAAATAATACTAGTTATTCAAATATAGTTTTCCATGCTAATATTATTGATTATTTTGTAAATAAATATATAAAAATCAATTGCATATACTTCCATAAAATAATCTTCTCATCAACATTAAGATTGATTTTTCTTATTAGTTAATTTTATAAAGTTTATACATTGATTGTAACTTTATTTTTTTAATATATTCTTATAAAAAACATATGTTTGAAGTACTTTTTTTTATTATTATTGATTAATATCCCAGTTTAAATTATCATAATTTTTTATTTAAAAATCAATGCATAAAGAACAACCAAATCATATTTTTAAAGTAAAAAAAATTTATGAAAAACATCAAAATAAATTTAAATTTTTAAATAATTTTATTATATCCATCCCGTGGCATAGCACTGATAACCTTCTAATGGTTAACTAATTAAACTGGATTGTAATTGATACAACAAAAATAAAAAAACATTCATAATTTTAATCTTGGTGTTTTAATCAATCCAATTGACTTGCAAAAACAAAACAAAACAATTAATTGCAAGGGCATTCTTCTGCAACAAAAGTTTTATTATGTTGCAAATGAAACACATTGAAGAGAATATTTAAAACGATAGGAAGACATAATAAACATAATTAAAAATACAGAGAATAATAAAATAAGTAAATTTGAGTTCTCAAACTGCAACTTCTATAAAAGAAGAGTATATCGTACAAACCTTGTTATACATCAAAATTTGTTAAAAACAAGAACCAATTTTGATACCCACTAATGTAGGGAAAATCAAATAATTTTTCTAAAACAAAATGTGCAGTTCTAGTGGAAGTAATAAAAGGCACTGGGTGCATTGCTGGCCTTGAAATGAAGCTATAAATGGAGATTTGAATCAGTAAAATGAAGACATACTAGAACACAAATTTCTTTTCCACAGAGATGTATTTAATTGAAGTCAGAAAGACTGCAGTAGTAGTACCTCACCCCAACATTTCTCGCCAATAAAAATTTTCTTCTGCTTTGTACTTTCCTTGCTTCTTATTGCAAATTCAGAACAACATGGTCGCAACCATCACCGTACTGCAATATATTGGGGCATTAGGACGCATACCACTGTCAAGCTCTTAATCTGAGCGTAGCAAAAAATAATGTACAGAAATGTTCATCCGATGAAAGATAACTTCAATGCGTTTCATTCTGTTGCTTCTTAATGAAGAGTACTTCGCTTCTCCTCTGACCTGTGACGAAATAACTTCGCTACGGCCCTTCTCTCGCAATCCTGCAACATAGAAAAAATCATGATAAAAAATGTAGTTTCTAGATTTCTTTACATTGCTAATGGTTGGGGATGGAGAGAAAATTAGCTTATGACGACTTGTTTTATTTGGAACATTTGCTGCTAGTAAGGATTCCATTCATTTTAGTAAAGATAAATACGAGAAAAAGTTACAATCTTCACCTTGAACATATTAAGATAAAATGGTTTGCCAGGATTCATCATTCTCAATTTCTGGTATGTAAAAGCAAAACTAAGTTGATCACGTGGAGTAAACCGATCAACCTCATTGAACCAGAGACAGGAGAATAGGTTTGACATAGGAGTGTGCGCCCTCACAATTAAAGACCCTTCAGGTACATCTGTAGGAAGTACAAAACTTCTTGTCAAAATAATAAAAGCAAATCAAGTTCAGCAGTGAATTGTACAAACTGAAAACTATGACACAGAATATTACTGCTGGGAAGAAGCTTGTTCGGATCCTTGACATTGAATCTTTTCAGCCCATCGGCCTGGTAAAAGGCAAATTGCTGGTCTATGACAGTGTGATTATACTTGTTCAGTCTCTTATTTTGAGCAACCTCTTCCCATACGCAATGGCGATCATAGTGATTAGAAATGGCATATTCATGACCTTTTCTCCACAAAAAGTACTCAAGAACTAGAAGAGGATCCACTTGAAGACGTAATTTGCTATCCAACCAAATTGAATACCTGGAAAATATTTATATGCAGAATATTATTAGACACAATTGTCAGAGCTTGTTTCTTTAAAATTACCACCGATCCAGAAAATTATTAGTTCACATAATTTATTCTAAGGTCACAACTGTTCAAGCAGTGGTCACCTGAATGATGAACTACCTATGAGCATCCAGGACAGTTTTTGTCATGGGAACCATTCCACATGCAAAATATACCATAACATTCCACTGAAACAGCTTACCCAATAGTATATAAATACCAATTTAGATATTTCAAACATGATTTAAATGTCATAAATGAGAGTTCCTGGAGGACCATACTGCTGCTGCTGGTACCAGTGTAGGAACCCTGGTTGATAGAGATCCCTTGAAGACAATACTGGATATATATCTAAGGCGAGAAATGAATGGTCTTGTGTACGTCTCACCGCTCTTTTTGTCCGCTACTCGATACAATTTATATAATTAAACAAAATAACAAAACAAAATAAATTGCCATATATAATAAGGTTCTGATAGAAAACTTAAGACCATTTTAACTATAAACCCCTCCATCATATCTACGAAGGTAAATCCCATGAGAGGGAGCAGCTTAACTTTAGTTTGTGAACACATCTGCAATCAGTGTCTCGCAAATTGTAACTCATTCTTTGAAGGACACAGCATTGTACTATTCCAAGTTCTATTTTTTTTATTTTTTTTCTTCTTTCCCTTCAGGATCAGTAATCAATTTCACTCCACATAGAATCCACAGCACAAAACAACAATCACAGGGCATTTAAAAATTATTTAATTTTACAAAGCCAACAATTTAGTTCTGATTCTCACCTTGCAGAAGGGAAAAGCCTATGTGGCAACAACTTTGGCACTTTACCCACTCTCCGCATGTCATCATACGGTAGATTCTTCACCACCACAATCTTCCATAAACCTACAAAACCTGCTGTATCTGGAATATGGCCTTCTGAAGTCAGTGTTTGCACTGTAACTTCATCCATGAACATTACAAAGCAGACATTTTTCCTTGATAAACGAGTGACCTGAAAGAGGGATAAGAATTTATAATCAGGATCAGGTTCAACAACACACATAACAAGTTAGTGATGAAATTGGTCTCCAGAGTGACAGAAAGTTTCAAATAAGATGATTCAACTTTGCGAGCATGTTGGAGAAGAGGAAAAAGTGCATGGAAGATGATGTGCGACACAAGAGGCTCATCAAGAGCAAGATTAAATGTCCAAGAATTTCCAAATTATGCTCTAAACTCATTACTGGAGGACTATTCAAGGGCCAATCACTATTTTTGGAAAATTTCTGATTTATACATAATAGACAGCTGAGAGGTACAAGATTCTTAAAATCAGACCCACTAATGTTTTTGTTCTTATTATGTGATGTTAAGCAGTTATATAGTCCCAAAGGTCTTAAATTCACATTACAAGCCCAAGTTTGCCAAGGATAAGGAGTATAAGAATTCTATAAATGTATAAGTTTCTAATACTTTGCTTTCAGAACAAATATGACTTTACAGCTTTTTCAAGCTCTGAAGCTATCTATGGGGTTGTGAATTTGAGATATCTAAATACCTTAATACCTTGAATTTAACATCCTTAAATTTCATAAAACTGAAATGCTGACTGACTTGGCACTATGGAAATGAATATTGAGCAATGGAGGACCATGCTCATAAAGTGAATACAGCTAATGTAAGGATGTTAAGATGGATGAGTGAAAATATAATAATAATAACTGGGTAAGAAACAAGTGCCTTCGTGAAAATGCAAAAGTGCAAATGCTGGTAAATTAAGCAAGAATTGTGTGAGAAGGTCTGGTTATGTCAAATGACCAAGCTACTGGTGTATTTGCAAGGAAGAACCTGAAGTGCTGAAAAAGAGAAAGGGGAGAGATAGACCACCAATGGCATTGACTAAAGTAGTAAAGAGTAATTTACCATCACAACAGCTTACAGATACTTTAGACCACTACAAAATTGAATGCATGAGGTCAATCCATGTAGTCAACTGAACTAGCTTAGATTGAGACTCTTTTGATTTGAGATGATATTAGATGAAACAATCTTTAGGATCGTAGATGCAAGTCTAAATTCAGGTGATATATCAATCACACCTTATGCAAAGTTTTAGGAACTCTTGGTGCGAAGATCTTCTAACTTCAGTTTCCAAGCAAATTCATTTTAAAAAAATCTAATTTTATTTCCTTCATACCCTAAAGATCCTAATTTCAACACCATGAATCAAGCTTCCAACAACTAATCCAAAAATATAACAAAATACTTGCAGATACAGCTAGCAATCACTGTTAGCTTGGTGCTAAATCTGCACTAGAGCACACTCTTAAATCATTATATAACTTGCTTGACATCATGCAATCCCAAATCCACCAGTTTTTGCAAACCCCTTGTCCCTGTTCAATCACCTAACTTTCTACCCTTCTTAAGCCACATAAAAGAGAACTATAGGAAAACTTTACATTGTGGAAACAACCTGGTTGTCCTACATCAGCACAGCACATAGGAGAGGATGTTGCTTAGAAATTGGAAGAAGATGATGCCCTAATTGATTTCCATCATACGTAACAAATATAAAAATTTATATGAAGGTTCACATGCATAAAATACTAGATGGGAGATAAATAAAAATCTGGAAAACAACAAACAAAAAGCTACACAGAATTTTGAGAGACTACAGTCTATAAAGAAACACCAAGGAAACAAAGTGAAAACATGCAGGCAGAAATATACCAATGCATCATAACAAAGCTTCAACATATCAGGAAACTCCAAATGAGAAACAGAATAACATGTGGAAAATTTAGGTTTTCCCTTCTGTAAATTGGGCCGATTTCTCCTATGAACGCACTTAGATAGAATCATATGCTCCAACCAAATAAGCCACTAAAGGCCGAAGTAAACTGGCATTGAACCTAGCCTACTTCCATTCACCAACAGCCCATCATGAAGCCAACAAGTTATTTGCAAAAGCATAGAAAAAAGCCTATCTCAAAAGCTGCTGGGTAAAGTAATCATACATGATTCACCAGGGCTATGCCTTTCGCATTTAAAACTCAAACTAAAGCCTCCGACTCTGTGATAAAGTTTTAACCACAACAGTTTCCCCCAAGCCACAGTCCATCCAAATGGGAAAAAGGGGAATCTTAGTTGAATATTCATCCATGAAGGACCATGGTAACAATGAACCGCTTTTCTAAGAGAAACAGGGAGACCCAAAGAGAGAGAACTAAAAGGTAGCGAACAGTTGAACTTGGATAGGAAAACTCGTGTTAACTTCTGTCTCATAACTAGATCATGGATATATGAAAAGATAACAAAGTACAAGACACAATAATCCCCCCTTCTTCATATGATATTTAATTTAGGCCTCGAAGCCCTATAGAGACTACATAGTACATCAAATCCAAGGTTTATAGAGAAGCCTCATTTTTTTTTTTCCCCCTTTCTATGGCTGGAAGACAGCATATAAAACATGCTAATTTATATTTCCCTCCAACAAACAGTTGTTTTTTCCCAGCTACCTTTTAGGACACAGCACACTACTTCAGAGGCCTTACTGGGAATTTCTTTATCAAAAGTCCAAAAGACTGGAGGCGGCTATTTTAATTGTCTTAGATCTCTATTTTCTAATCAGTGGATGTCTTATTCTCCAATGTTTAATTGCTTTTGATTTCATTGTTCATAAAATTTTGATTACCAAAAAAAAAAAAATTTCCATCCATGACCTTACATTTAATATTCAGAGTCAAGACCCGCTTGTGGTTTCAGCCGATGACACGAAAACTGGAAGCATTTATTCTCAATCACCTAGTTGGTACCAAACAAGTATATTTCTTCTCATTAAAACCCAGAGAAGGGAGACCAAGTATATTTGCAATCACTCAACTATATCTATGTTCAATTTACTACTCTAGATAAACATAATTTATCGATGTCAATAAATCCTCCATGGAAAACTTAACAAATGATAAAGCAGAAACTGATTAGGGCCTGAGATATGCACCAAAATATTTCCATATACTTAATTTTTATAAGTGAAGAGTCCATGTACCATTTTAGTTGCTGGTGACCTTAAGCGATCTGAATTCCCAAAGATGCAAGAGATCACAGCAATATGGCATCTACTTATATAACTTTCATCATCTTCTGCCAAATCAAACCCTGTACTTGAAGATCCTTCAGGACCTTTGACAAAACCACAGTTTATTTTTTGATCACGTGCCAAAAAGATTCTTCTCGTTCATGCAAGTTCTGATGCCCAGCAAATCTGGGCTCCCATTGCTCTTGTCCATCTGGCTTCTCCTCTATTTCGGTATATTGCAAGGAAAATCTTGCAAACTTCCGACTTTCAAAAGGCTCCACAAGTCTTGTAGTAGAATTTAGAAATTTCATCCCACAAGAGGAACCTGAATGTTTCAAGCATGACACGTCAAGCCAAAAATAAAAATAAAAAAAATATTGGCACCCCAGCATAACTTCTATTCATGTAAAAGAAAAAAAATCCCTATAAATTCATGCATGCATGCATGTATGCGTGTGCGTGTGTGCACAGGCCATCCAGAAATGATCTATTCCTCTATGCAGAACCAGATGTTTGAACTGTTCGAACCATGAGCCAATCACTGCAATCTTAAATTGGCATCCTTTACCATTTGCTTCGAAGCTGTTCCAATCAAAACTATTCCAAATTGTCATTCAACAACGACAAAAATAAAAATTCATCAGACAGCCTAATCGACAAAGAGCTTGGACAGCACGATTTCATTAAACCACCAGGCTTTAGTCGATCAAAAAACATAGTTAAGGTCTTCTTAAATGAAATAAAAAAGAACGAGAAAAAGAAAAAAACAAGAAAAGAAATTTCCTCTACTTGAATCTGACCTCAAGACACCACATTTTGGGGGTTCTTGACATTCTGTTTGGATTTAGCTCTCAATATTTAGATAAACAAATCCACTCAGACCAACACCTCATCACAAATTGGCTTCTAGAAAACTCTAGTCCTTTTATCCATTTACTGACCCAATTTTCAAACATCTCTGGCTAGCCATTCATTTCATCAATTTCCTCTCTTCTACTTAACTTACTTTCAATAAGCAAATCCTGATCTAATTCCAACATACATCTCCAGTAAATCTACTTCTAACATCACCATTCTAACCCCAAATTTATGTACCGTAAAAGGGGCCCTAAGCATATATCACTTGAGAGTCTGGGACGGTAGCATTGCTCCAATCAAGCATCAGCAAGCTTCATATGCAAAATAATAAATAAACAGTCGGAACAACACACACATAAATGAAAATATATTGTGCACATATATTCAAATTAGCATGTAAAAAGTCCATTTTGATGAATAATTTATGAACACTCAAGCTAGTAAAAAGGAAAAATATAGAAATTACCAGAAAATTTGCGGCGCTTTTTTTTCTTTGGATCTAATCGGGATTTATTTGTAGAATGTCCACCAATGTTATGGACATGGTGAGAATCAGTGTCACCATCATCTGAATTTTGAGAATTCAAAGAAACCTTCTCTAGCAAACTCATTGAATCTTCCTGATTGTCCTTGGCAATATTTTGATCCTTGGCAATATTTTGATCCTTGGTCTCAGCATCAAGGAAATTAGAAGACTCCCTATTATCTTCAACGTGAACTGTTGTTTCACTGGAGTGGTGCTCCTTGTCATGTTCAGAATCACCATCATATTCCTCCATACGAAGATCATGAGAATCTATACCATCATCATACTCATTCTCACTATCAGCCGCTCCATTCTGATCCCTATTATCCTCATCATCCAGTAACGGACTTTTTATCTCATTTTCTTTTCTCAATTTTCCCGTGTTCTTCAAAGAAGCCTCGTACTCTTTTTCATACATCTTCAACTCTTTGCGCCCATCTTCATTATACAACCCAACTCCCTTTCTATCTTCACCTCTTTGTGCCTTCTCCTTGTCATTCTTCACTGTCACCAAGTTATGACCCTTCTCACTAGATTCACTATCCCCAAAAACGTTGCTATCATGCTCAACATCATCCTCATTGTAATCTTCATCCCTTCTCCTATCATCCCTATCCCAATACCTAGAATCCCGTCCATGTCCCAACGAACCTTGCCCAAACCCAAGAACTTTAATAGTATCAGTACGTGTAACATTTGCAAGAAAATCATCATTTTTCATCTCATCATCCTCAACACGATTATCATTTACATCTGCACCAAATACATTCCTAAAATTACATGTTTAACAAGATTCACTTATTCAAAGTCCAAATAAAAATTACAAACAATCTACACTCAAATTAGTTTCATGTAACCATATACACAAATAACAGTTCTCGACCTTTCATTTTTTTAACTAATTGCAGATCAATTACTATTTAACAGCATTAAAAATATATTAAAAAGATATATAAATTGAGCTCAACTAATCACTTTTAACTACGATGAAACTACAGTAAACCAAAATCAGCTCTCAGTTTACAGCACCATTACTCACTGTGCTTCCAATTTTCACTTTCTATCATTTTCTCACACTTTCTCACAGACCAAATTATTTAAAAAATAAAATAAAAATCATAACTACACTAAATCTCTCTCTTTTGACTAGCACCTAACTACAACGTAACTGAATTAAACTAAGCTTATTATTGATTTCACTCCAAAATCAATAATAAGCTTCCCGTTTTCACTTTCTCAGCACCAAACAAAGCAAAAGGAAATCAAAATAACTGAAAACAAAACAAACCTTTGTTATTATTGCTATTATCGGCGGAGAGGAAATAGTAAGCTAAAACAGTAACAACAAGGACAAGGCACAAAAACAAAATGACCGCACCGATCAATGATAACCCGCCCCGACTATTCTTGTCGGATCGGTAACCTAATCTTCTAATCCGACCCGACTTCTGCTGCTGCGAACTAGACGAGGACGACGACGATGCACGAATCCCGATGGATACGTGATCCGACGTACCGTTAGAGTAATGCCTAAACTGCGCCATTTTTCAAAACATTTGCAATTTACTAACAATAATAACACAAAAAACAACAATGCGTCACTCAAATTTCTTTTACTGTATCTGTGTGTATAGATTTAGAGAGAGATTTCAGGGGTAAGGTTTGGTAAATTGGAGAGGGAGTGATGGAGATTTTGGGAATTTTAATTTTATTCTGAGTGTGTGACAGTGAAGCGTTGTAGATTTGGGTTTGATATTTGATTTGATGGGTTATTTTATTTTATTTTATTTTTATTTTTGTTGGATTAAAATATTAAGGACAGAGGAGAGAGAGGTAGAGGGCGACCGGCGATGGATTGCCGGTTGATGGAGGCTTTATTGCAGTATAAATAAACCGTATATTTTCATCCGCATCGATTTGGCAATTTCTTACTTTGGCTCCTAATCTTTTAAAATTTCACAATGTCATTCTTAATGTTTCTAAAAATCTTCATTTTGGCCCCAGATTGTTAAATTGCTCACAAAAGCTAATGGTCCCACTTTTTGAATTTTTTAAGATTTTTAAAATTTTTGTTGTATATTATCACAAATGTGGAGATAAAAAAAAAAATACACATCACACATGAAGATTTAGGAAAAAAGAAACTTAATATGAAAAAGGTGAAAGAAGCCGATGAAAAAAATAAAATTTTAATTTTCTAGTATTTAAAAATAATTATCGGTTATGTTTTGAATCTCAATGTTGGTTTAGAACTCAAAATTCTAAATTTGATGAGAGTAAAATAATAGTAAGAAGAAATTTTTGTTGTTGTCATTTTCAACTTATACTGAAATTCTGAATTTAAAAATGTTGATATAAGGTATTCAATGGGTCGGCCAAGGGTTATATTGAAACCTTTTGAAAACATTTGTTTTGATGTTAAGAAATTTAAAGAGTGTAGAGGCCAAAGTAGAATATTTCTAAAATGTAAGGGCTAGAAAGAGTTTCGGGCAATCACCTTTTGCCAGATTTGGAAATTGGAGTTGGACCTAACAGGGGTAACGTGAATAGAGAGACATGTTGGTTGCATTGTATGATTAAGTTATAAATTATTTTAATTTTAAAAATTAATTAATTATTTTATATTTTTTAAAATCTATTTGTTCCTGATTATTTTGTTTTTTTTTTCATTTTTTTATTTAATGAATAAAAAAATTAATGAGAAAGGAAGAAGTTTTTTTTAAAGAAAATAATATTAAATAACTATAGTCAACATCGATTAAAAAAGTAATTAATTAATTTTCAGAATAAAAAATTTATTTAATTCGTTTTGCAAAACTAAAAAGTCTAATTTATAATTTTGTCTGCGAGTATTGATTAGTGTTGTGATTTTAAAGGATTAAATAGTTAACTGACTTTAGTGATGTTTTTTAAGTTAAAAAACAAAGTATAAAAAGCCTAACGTAAAGACATTTTTCCTTTCTTGCAACTTGTTTATTGTCCGTGTCTTTGGTAACATTTCTTATCAAAGAATTAATAAGTTGGCAACAAAGATTTGTTTTATAAGTTAAATCATGACGGTGTACTTGTTTGTTCTGTCCTTGACCATGACCCTCAAAACAAATCCTCTTAAGATAACGATATGTTTATTAAAGAGGATTGTTTTAAATAAAAAAGATTTTAATCCTTTAAATAAATAATTTTAGATTCAAGTTTTATATATATAAAAAATAAGTTTAACGATTGTATTTATTTTATACACCCAATCGAATAACGATTGATATTTTAGATTTTTGAACTTGAAATATCCTGAATATCCAAAAAAACAACACTATATTTCATTTAATTTATAAAAAATATCTTCCAATAGTTTTTATATATGAGAAAAGGCATCATCGTAACAATTTTTATATATTATAATATAAGACAATGGTTGGATTTTAAATTGGAAATATACATTTATAATAGTGTATTAACAAAGATTATTTTTTCATAAATCCACCTATATAATTTGAGCTATAAATACCGACAATGGAAGGCAATTTTTTAAGATGTATCTAATAACTATGATTAAACTCTTCTATTAAATTTGACTCAACCATCGGTGGGTATTATTAACATTTAAGAAATGCAATTACTTTTTTTATTTGACAATAAAAATATTTTTGAATTAATTTATATGTTAATCGAGAATAAATTTTTTCTCCAAACAATTTTAAGAGAGATAGTCTTCACATCGACTTGATGCATTCAGAATAATTTAATATAATAATCAATAAATAATGGCTCATATCATGTGTTTTTTTATATTTATACACTACTATACATGACTTCGACCCTTTTTTTTTTTCAATAAAATAAACTTAAAAAAAGAGGAGGAAATTGTGCTGGTTTCCTAATCAATCACTTCGAATTTTGAATTTACAAATGAACTTCCTGTCTAGTTCTTCAAGCTGTGTGCCCATTTTTATTCCAGGCACATAAAAGCATCAATGATAAGAGAATAAAAAAAATGCATAATTCATTTGCACATGCAATCGTTGGCTGTTTGTTGTTCTCTAACGCAAAAGTAGTATCATTTGAGAAACAAAATAGTCATTGTTATCAAAATTGTGGGGATAACATCCATAATCATTTTTGCGTCAGCCACATGTGTCCCTAGCCTCTACACCTTGTCAATTCCCATTATCGATGCATACCTGTTGTGGATTTGATAATTTAAAGACTAGCCTCGTGCTTTCTTACATGTTTAAGCCCCGCATTTTGTTGTTTTACGCATTTGACATATATATATATATATTAAAAAAATAATAAATTATATATTTTTTAATCATATTTGTATTTTTTTAATATTATATAGAAAATATACAAATTAAATTTTTATTAACTATATTAACACGTATAATTTTTTCAGCCAAAATTCGGAATTTTTTCAAGTAAAAATGCTATTAAATGGAGTAATTCAAGATTAACTATAGTTGATCGAGAATTCTTTATGGTTCAACTTGGTTTCCTTTTTTCTTTCTCTCTTCTAAAACTGTATTATTAATAGTTTTTTCAAAATTTTAGTCAAAAAAATTAAGATTTTATAAATTCACACGTGATAATATAATTAACAAGAAATTAGTGTATGTATTTTATGTCTAATATTAAAAAAATATGCTGATATAATTAAAAAACATAAAGTTTGTGATTTTTTCAATAAGCCTATATATATATATATATATATATATATATATATATATATATATATATATATATATATATATAATTGCGTGTGTGAGACGTTATGAAATTACTAATGCTAAAATTATTTAAGATGTATCGTTATAACGCTTACTATAAGCAAAGATAGAATATAAATAATTTAGTCTTGAAATTCCTTGAATTGTCCTGGCTTTACTTTAGTGTTATTTTATTTTTTGTATGAGAAGTTTATTTCCAAATATTTGAATTTTTTATAAAATTTTGAAACTTTATTAAATTTACTAAACATGTACTTTTACACGTCATCCATCATAAATTTGGTTTTTACTTTTATTTGTGTCTGTGTTATCTTTTTCAAATTATAAAAGTAATGTGGTTGTACAACTTTAATGTTGCACCGAACATCATGAGCTTAGAAAATGTGAGCTTGACTTTGACTATAAAAATCCAAATGGAAAATGCTAGAAATTTTGCATGTAAAATTACTTACTAATATACTAAAACCGACAGGGAAAACACTGTTTGGACACTGTAGCCGACATTGTTTTCCAAACACGTATGCATTGTGCACTACACTCAGATGCATTGTTGATTTTACTGCTCAGGTTTTTTTTTTTCACTGGGTTTATTGTCGAGTATATTTACTGTGTTGCCCTTACTTTTTGCTGCTTGCCTTTTTATTTTCCTGTATTTTTTTTGAGTTTTTCCTTCCTTTTCTATTGTGTCTCCTTTTGTTCCACCCTTTAATTTCCTTTTCTTTCGTCTTCAAATTTTTTCTCCTCTCTGTGATGGTTATGTGAGCTCGCGAGGGCCCAATTTTTTTTATTGTTCATCGTTTTGGTTTGCGATTTTTCTTCTCTCTTTCTTTTCTTCGGGGCAACCATTGCCCTCCTGCGAGTTCTTCTTTTCATTTTTTTTTTTTTGGATTTTTCTCATCGTTGTTCTAGAAATTGTGATGGGTTTTTTTTTTATTTTATTCAAATCTTACCAGCACAGTTTATATTTCATGGGTTCTTGATTTTTAGTTTTTATTTAATTATTTTTTGGTTAAGAGTAATGCGTTTTGATGCGGAATTGTTCCATTTGAACTTTGTTGCAACGAAATCAAAGGAGGTTTATGCAAGTTAAATAACAATAAACATCATTTTCATTGTTGTTGTTGATTTTGGTGTTATATATCAATAAAATGATAATGAGGTGAAATTTTGTTTAATAAAGTTTTATTAGTTCTTATTTATCTATCAACCAAATTATATTTTCTTTTTTTTCCTTCTATTAGCAATAATTTGAAAGCTCTTTCATTCCTTTTTTATTTTACATGAATAATTATTAACAAATTTTCTACTCCCTAGTTTAATTTAACTTCGAGAAGTTTACATTAGACTATCTTTAATCTATATTCACAACTACATATAAAAATATCAATTCCTTAAAAACTTTTAATTGACTATTATAATATTAAATAATACCAAACATAATAATGCTGCTTCGATATTAAATCTATTATTAAAAAAGAGACAAACAATAATATAATTCCTAAAAAATAGATTACATTTGTTTTTCTATTATGTAAATATTTGTTCATCACGTACAATCTTAAACAAAATAAAATAAGTTTTTTAAATAACCCTCTCTTATATAGTTTCTAACTAATTTTTTAACCGACGTTACGTTGTGGATCTTACAAAACATGTAAAAATTATTTTAAAAAATAATTTCAGTCCGATGGTAAGGGCTATATTATTGGTCTACTAAAATATATCAAATCAAACGTAAAAACAAAACTTTTTTTTTTAATTTTGTGTTTAATTAATTATTCATTATGTTAGTTGCTCTTTTATATATATATATATATATATATATATATATAATGAATTCTTAAAATTTTTAAATGATTATATATATATATATATATATATATAACCATGCTACTATCATTTAAAAATTAAAATAATTCATCATATAAATTATATCGAGAAAATTTTAAAGAGCAAATAACGAGACTCTAAAAACTCATTAAAAAATTCATACATAGATCTCTCTTTCCTCTCTCATCTCTCTTCGTTTCTCTCTTCTCTTAAAAAGTAGAGACTAGATTATAATACAAATAAAGTTGTAAATTGAAATAAAAGACGAAAGAATAATATGAGCAAAATCTTACATATAAAAGGCATAAAAAACCTCAAAATTACTATGTGTGTGTGTATATATATATATATATAACATTCAATGTAAAGTAAAAAGAGGGTGAAAAGTGTTGTAGCCAAAATAAATTGGAAAATTTGGAAACCTTTTTTTTTTTTTTTGTAAAAATTCTGAAAAAAAAAATTGAAATGGGAGGTTTTTGATTTAAGAGGGAAAGAAGCTTGAGAGTGAAAATGATGGATTGAGAGAGAGGAGGAGAGAACAAAACGGAAATCTCTCGTTCGTTCCTCCATTGATGAAATGGCAGAAAAAGAAAAGGAAAGAGACGAGAGAGGGAGGGCATTCGGAAAAGGAGAAGGAAGAGAAGAAAAGGATAGAAAAAAAGGAAGGAAAGAGGAGGAAGAAGAAGGACGAACTAGTTCTGGTTTGTCTACAGAGGATTTGGGAGAAGGGAAGGAGGAAGAAGAAGAAGAGAGGAAAAGAAAAGTGAGAGACAAAGAGAATGAGTGAGAGAAAAAGAAAAAAATAAAAAAATAAAGCTTGACTTCCCCTTATATCAGATGAAATTTTAGCAATGATTTTAAAAAAACCATCATCAAATATCAATATTAACGACGATTTCTTGAACCCTCATTAAATTCAAAAAACAAAGAATTTTTAATGATGATTTAATTAAAATTGTTCTAAAAACTAACATTAACACAAAATTAGGTACGGTTTACTCAAAACCATCTCTAATTTATGATTTTAATGATAGACTTAAAAACCATGGTTAAAAAGCGATCACTACCACCTGTGTTTCTTTTAGTGAGACAAGAAACCTCATGCATGTTGTTTTACATGTATTTTGCAACACAAGGGTGGCATAAAGATGGCATGGAATGTGGTGGCATGCACGGCGATTCCATATGAGAATGGATTGTTAGCAGGTCCATCTTAATTTTCTCAAAAAGCTAGGTTAGGATCTGCTGAAATTCTAAGGCCTTGACTAAATTTCTTTTCTGTTCTTTAATAGCCTTTTTCTGTTTTTGAAAATAGTTAAGACAAAAATTCAACATAGGTTCCTTTTTCCACAGCTTCAAGGGTAACGTCTTTGCTGCTTCACACCCTTTGATCATCATATATATTTTTATTTATATAGGCAGCTTCTGATCAAAAAATTACAGCAAAATTTCTTGCGTCTCGTAGAACATAATATTCATTCCATTTATAGGTATGCTTTCCAAGCATGCGTTTGAAAATTCAACCCACTCAATAAAGCTCCTACCTTTGTGATGCTTATCCTTGTTCCAGCTATAAACTTTCAAGTTATGAACATTCATTTTTTGAGAATTAACAATTTCTTTTTGCTTCGATTAGACGTAGATACCAAAATTGATAAGGATAATAGGATTTATCATCATCATCATGCTCAAAAGCATACTTATGATCTGGATTATGACATATCTGCTTAAATATCCAAGACACCAAATTACAAACTACCTTACTCTACGTAGACATTTGTACAAAGATTTCTCTTTTCTGTTAATCTCGAGAATCCCTGTCAGGCTTTCTTCAACATTCTTATATTTTCTTTAACAATAGTTGCTTCCAAATGAAAACTTGGCTGTATATTATCCCTTATGATGCATGGCTATATATTATCCTCCTTTCACCATCTAGAATAAAGTTTATGTTTTTTGGTAGACAGGATTCATGAAATTTATCCACTTAATTTGTTCTCCTCTATTTTTTAAAGGTGAATTTTGTGGAGAGTTTGGCTGAGGCTTTTGTAGTTCTTTTATTTCTTTATTAAGGCTCGCTATTTGTTGTAGTAATTTTTATAATTAAGAAACCATTCAACGTATTCTTTCATTATATATTCGAGTTTTTTACCCATTGCCTGATGTTTCTTTTTCTGCCATTAATTCAAATCAGGATTTAAAATTTTTTCCTTATCCTTCTTTAATGAAGCTGAGGGTTTAAGATTTGAGATTTGAATTATCTTATCATTTTCTTTTATTAGCTTTAAACGTGTTCTGGAAAGAGCTACCATCCTAGTTTTGTATGTTCTAGGATAATTTGCAGCAATATGTCCAAGTTTTTTACGCAACTAATAATTTTCTTGGAATTTATTTTCAAGTGTTTTGTTTCGTCATTTCTGGACCAAAGCTTGCTTCTCTTTCATTTTCTTGTTTCTCAAATTTCCTAGGAAATTCCTTCTTGCTATGGCCCATGTTTTGCATATCCATTAAAGTTTTTTTTTTTTTTTTTTCCGCAGAATCCATCTATTAAACCAAAAATTTCACACGAAAGAGAATCCTTATTACATTTTTATATGAAGAGATATTTTCAATATTAAATTTGTAATATTCTTGCAATCTAAGAAGCATAGTTTGTTTAGTTTTCTCTAGGATCTGCTTTAGATTCATATCCTTGAATCTTTTAGCATATAAAGAATTTGTTCGTGATATAATTTTTTTAAGAGTAAGAAAGATATAAAAAGATTTAATGTCATTTTTAATAGTAAACAGTTATTTTCATGAATTGAATAATTCATTTTCGATCCATTAAAAGTTTTAGACTAATGCTTGTTCATTTGTCACGACTTCTTTCTTTTATTTTTAGTGCTACTCTCTAAAATTTGAAAAATTTTAAAATATTCAATAAGTAATTAACAATACTTATTCAATAAATCTATTTTGAGGAAAGAGACATACATAAAGAAGAGAGAAAAAAACGTATCTAGATATACCAAAAGTGATAAAATATTTCAACCCATGGTTATTTTAAAAAAAATTCTTTATGTCCTATTTCTCTCTCTTTTTGTGTTATTTCCCTTCCATAGAGTAAAGTATGATTAATTATTCTTAAAGTAAGATAAAATTTCTTTCAAAATTTATCTCAAGCATTTGTCTACAAGATCAACTCAAATGTGTGAGAGGGTAAATTAAAAGAAGAATTTTTTTTGTATTTTTACTTTATTTAGTTACAATTTGAGCAGCTTCACCATTCCAAAACCATTTTTGTTTTGTAGAAGTTTTTCTTGACAACTCTTTTAATAGTTTTGAAAGATTCTCATAAACTGTCTAATATATATATAGTTAGTAAGACCACAAAATCTTTGTATGTGCTTCCTATCTACCAGTTCGCTAGGGAATTTAATTAACTTTTCTATAATATGACTTTGAAGTCATATTTTGCCTTTTATTAGTTATTTATCTAAAAAAATTGAAGTTTGTTTTTAAAATCATTCTATCTTTTATTCAGATAGAATAATACATTGTACCTTGAAGTTACATGTCACATTTTCTAAATATTTTATGTGTTTTTTGTTTTCGCTAAAGACTAACACGGTCGTCTGTATCTCTCTAGTAGTAAGAATCTTATAGCCATCATCTTCTTTTGCTTTATTAAGTTGACGATAACCTACAATCATTCTTATTTTTCCACGCAGTTGTTTTATATGGTTTATTACTATAAAAATTGGATTAGAATTAGAGCTATAACCATTTTTAATCAAGCTTTTTCAAAGCAATTCAAGAATTTGTGTGTCGAATTCTTCTATCGTTTCAGTTGTATATGTAATATTTATAACCCTACCTATAGTACTTGGATTTTTTTAATTCAAATTTAGCCTTTTCTATTTAAACTCTATAATTTTAGTGGATTTTGGTTAAAATTATCAATAAATTTGCTGAAGAATGTATTCCATTTTGTACCAAAAAAATGTACACTCCTAAAATTTTATAGATAAATCTTTTCATACCCTTGGATATTAATTGCGAATTTTTTTTCTCAAATAATTCATTTATCCACGTATCATAAAAAATGGATACCTGTTTGTATCACCAAAAATGGACATCTGGTCATGTGGAACCCACAAACAAATGTCACTTGTGACAAATGAGGTTTTACTACGTATTCCAGCTTAACCTTCAAATTTGAAATATAGAACGTGTTTATTTGGAGGAAAATAAGTTTTATAGCAAAATCAATTTCTCATGATGTTATTTTTAAGAAAATTATTTTTCAAAAACATATTTTCTGCCGTTTGACAATTACATAAAAAACTACTGAAAAATATATTTTAACGTTTGTTTGATACAAAAAATTAAAATACAAAAACATATGTTATTTTTATATCAATGAGTTTTGAGAAAACTTCAAAAAGACATATTTATGATTTCACAATATAACATACATTTAGAAAAAATTAATAAATTTTCATAAATAATAACTTAATTCAAAAAATAAAATGTATTTTTTAACTATCAAACCAATTCATCAAAATTACTTGAGACAAAATCAAATCAATATTCACATTTAGTAAAAATAAGATTTTAAGTAATCCTAGAATTGTTATTTTGGTAACTCAATTAAGAAATTTTTTTTTTTTACGAAATTGAATTAATAATTTAGTCTGAAAAATAGTTTTATAAATCATCAGTTATCATTTATAGATAATTATTCATTTGATCTCAAAAGATTAATGTTGGAATAATTTGTAGCTAATTATTCACTACAATTACCAACAAAATTTTATAATTAATTAAAATTAAAAATTATTGATTTAATTGCAAATGAATAGTGTTGGAAAAATAATGTATTTATTGATGAATTAATTAATTTTATTTTTTTATTAAAAATTATAGTCTTGTAATAATCATTTTCAATCATTTAAGTATAGTTTAGGTGGTGTTTGAAATAATAGTAAAAAAAAGAGATCAATTATTGAAATATATATTATAAAAATAATTTTAAGGTGTAAAAAAGATTTTTAAGAATATTTAATGTATTTATAAATAAAAAAATCAAATATTAGTAAAAATAGAGAAAAGATAATTAAATAATTAATAATAATTGATAAAAAATAATAAAAAATTAATCTGATATATTTTAAATAAAAAGAAGATAGAGAAAAAATTATTAAAATATATCGAGAGAGAAAAGTAATACGAGAGCGAGACAACTCATGAGAAGGAAAATGTTTTCTTCTTTTAAAATTAGGAAAACATTTTCTAAAAATACTCTATTATTTTTTATTGATTGAAAATTATTTTTCGTTGATTATTTTTTAAATACAAAATAAATACTGAAAGAAAAAAGTTTTTAAAACTTATTTTCTCTAAGACAAGCATAGCCTTAGTGAACAACTTAGAATAACCGTTAAAGGAAGGACTAACGAAGGGTGTTAATACAAACGTGAGGGATCCAATTACTTGTTTTTAGATCACAAGCTGTCTTTGTCAAAAATCAGTACCAGAGCAAAAAGCTTTTAGTTTGGTAGTTAATTAAATTAAATTCGTTAAATTATTTCTAGCCAATAATTATTTAGAATAAATATTTATTAAGTATTTTTTTATATCAAAATCAAAACAAAAATCAGACAAAAACGTGGAATAGATTTTTTTTTTTTTTTTGCGACATATACCTTTTCAAATCAACAACGTACACTTTTTCTTTAAAAAAAAAACCCCACAAAACAACACGTATTAAATAAATTATAAATTAGTCCTTCTAGTTTTACAAAATAAATTAAATAATTTTTCTTTTTTAAAAAATTAATTAATTAATTTTTTATCATTATTTACTATAGTTAATTTATATTATTATTTTTTTAAATATCTTTTTTCTCATCAATCTTTTCATATTTTTTTATTTTTTTCAATTTGTTAAAATAAAAAAGCAAATTAAATTTAAAAAAATGAAAAGAATTAAATTATAAATAGATTTAAAAATATAAGGACTAATTAATTAATTTTAAAACTAAAAGAACTATTTAATTAGTTTTGGAAAAAAAGGGACGAATTTCTAATTTACTCCACTTAATTTCTGGGTTTGTCAAAAATCTCTCGGCAACATATTAATATTTTTGGATTACATTCTTCTACTGTGAAGTTTGATTAATTAGCTCTCTTTACTTTAAAATTCTTTAACATTTAGAACTCACGATTCGTATTGCATTGCAAGAAATAAAATCCACTTTTCTTAATTTTCTTTATATTTAATAAAAAAATTTAAAAAGTTAAGATAGTTTCTTTTTTCTTGCCATTTGCTCTATCAATGGTGTTTTTGGGTCACTTTTGTTTTTTGTTTTGTTTTGTTTTTTTGTTTTTTTTTTTTTTTTGGTTTTTAATTTGATTGTAAGAAGTATTTTTGTATCCGTTATACTTCAACTAAAACTATTTTTTTTAAAAAAAAGTTTTAAAAATACATTTCTCATATCAATTTGATGCATTTAAAAATAATTTATAAATTTTTATGAATATTAACTTTAAAATTTTAAACTCAAGAAACAGAGTATTCAATCATTGCAATTGATTACCATCCCTCAGATAATTTTATGACCAATCAATTTAAATATTTTATGACCTCGATGCATTTTTTTTTTTAAGGCTTACAATCCATTTTTAAAAACAAAATAAAAAAAACTGGACGTGTTAGTTTTTTATTTTATTTTTATTGGGAGGTTTTTAAATTTTACAATAAAGATAGTTCTCTTGGAATATTAGTTTCAATATTAAATGGATTATCTCCCATATCATTATTTTTGGAATTTATCTTATGCATAAAAATGATCTGGGGGTTAAAGAAAATAAAGGAAAAAAAACAATAATGAATATAAATGTAATAAACTATAAGTTCGTTGAAGACTGGAAGTAGCTGTTGGGTACAACGTAAGGACGGGGTTGTCTTGCCTGTTGCCTATTGCCTCCTGATATCCGTGGCCAAAGCAACGCCAAGCCACCCGAAAACACACCATACCCCCTTCTCTCTGTCGTAACGTCAAGAAATTGAACACTCTTCTCTCCATTAAGGTACTTATCACCTTGCTTATGAATTTGCTACTACTTTACAACCACTCTACAATTTCAAGTCTTAATCTTTTTCTTTTTTCTCATCTTTCTCTGCTTACTTTATGCATAACTTGGCTATACCTCTATTGTTTCTGTTTTTTCCCTTATGTTTTTAACTTATATGATGATGAATTGATATAAAACAGTTTAGGATTTATATAAATTGTATGCAAGATTGGAGCTTGATGTCAGAAAGAGAGATGGGCAGATTTTGTTTTTACTGGGTTTAATTAATTAATTAATTTTATTTGCTTCTTAAACTGTATCTCTTGTTGTTTCTGTGAATGGAAATGTACGTATGTAGAATTTGTTTGATGGGTATTTGCTAGTTGCTACCTTGAAGATTGGAAATACATGGAGATGTGTATTTCTCTATTTTCGCCGTAAAATATCCTCCTTGGAATTAAATTCCTTCCTGAAAGAAGTTTCCTATGTAACTTATGACTAAATTTTTACCTTGAAAAGAAGTTTCCATGATTCTCTGATATGATTCTGGGTTCTGGCTGATCCGTTATAAATAGTTTTCATTTCTTAGACTAAAAGAATTGTTTTTCCATAGGAATGACTGAATGAGTGGTTAGTGCAGTTTTTTTTTTCCTCTCTCTCTCTCTCTCACTTCTGCTAGTTAATTGAATAATATTGGGGTGAATTCTAACAAAAGAAAAAAAAAACTAGTATAGGAGTGAAGGGATCGCATTTTTGTCGTATTATATGATCAGAGCTGTTTCCTTCAGTGTCCTAACTAAAACAGCAGAAGTGAAATTCTCATGAGTTGAGAAGGTAGCCCTCAGAGAGTTTGGGCTATTGGTGGAGTAGGTAAAGGAGATGCCTATCTCCAGTGGAGATATTCGAAGTAGAAGTTTAATTCAGTGGCTAGTTCTTCTGTCAAAACTTCCACACATGCAAAATCAGTAGCCGACAGGCTCTTTATCTTCAAATCTTATCACAATTGATGCAAGGCTGCGTCAGTATGTCGTCCTGGCAAAGCATAACTAGTTTCTTACTAGTCAAATGCTACCTTTGATTTTTTTTCTTTACTAGTGTATTCATTATTATTGATAGAAGATAATACTTTGGTTGTAATGTGCTTAATGTCATATATATCAACACTGCCGGTCACAAGGCTTGATTAAAGGAAGAAGGTTGTGGTACTTATGCTGCCAGCATATAGCCGCACTAGTATTCTGAGGGAAATCTTGTTGCAGATGGTAGAAATGAACGGAGCATCCATCAAATGTATGTTAGATATCTTAGGAGAATATATTTTAACTTTAGTTTGGATTAATGGTCTGTCGAGCAGTTGATACTGAGATGGATGCTACGCAGATGTAATGCAAAAGGACATGCTTGTGAAGTATTAAATGAGAGTATGTCTTTATACCAAAATGGCCAAAGAATATGGCTGCTATTAATGCTTTTGTTGAGTTAAGGAAGTTAGATGTTCTATTACAGAAGAAATTTTTAACAATAATATAATAATATTGTAATCATAATATAACAGCCACAGTGACGAATATAGCAGTCATAATATTCTTTATTATTAATTTATTACTCTTGCTTTTTTCATCTTTCCATAAAATTTCCAAGCCTATTTCAATTGGTTTCTCTTTCATTTGTCTAACGAAGCACTATTTTTATTTTATTTATTTATTTATTTAATTGTGTGTTTTTGAACATTGTAGGGATGCTAGGAAAATCATTGGCTTCTCCTCTCTTAACCTTTGATTCTGCAGCACGTTCAAGCTGTGTTACTGTAAGTACCATTTTGTATCTCATTCCTAAAGCAATTACTAAATGCATAGATGCACAAAACCTTTCTTAACACTATTTTCAACTGCCTTGTGAGCTAAATTAGCTTGTAAATTGGTATTTAAGACTGAAAACATGATTATGCAATTGTGTTTTGACTTGGTAAGAACAAGAGTGTGGAAGCTTACTAATCAATGGGCATTACATACAACATCTCGATATTTGAATGACATTCATGCTCTGCTGGACTGGTTGCCTACATCTTGTTCCCAGTAGCTAGTTGGCCCCAGAATGTCACTTAAAGTGTAGAATTCTAAAATTAAAGTTTGAAAGAGGCAATGGGTGGAGATACTTTAGGATGTATATCAAAGAACCAAAAGCCATCCATAAAATTGTTTCAGCCAACGCTACCCAATAAGTCATGGTGCCATGATAGTTGGTGTTTCTCAAACAACTACTAAATGCTGAAGTTTTAGATTAGCTGTGCCTTCATTATGATATCCCTAAACCAATTGGCTAAGCTGATTACCGTCTAGTGGAATCAAGGCAAGGCCATGAATAATAAACATGGCAGGGACCAAAATTTCTTATGGTCTTGGTATAAAGACACATGCATTTGTGCAGACGCGCTCATTTTCACACATGTACTGTTTTTGGCTTGAAAGTTTCACAAACATTAAAATAGCAGCATAGTGCTCGGATGTGTGATTTGGTTTTTGGAATTAAACTTTCAAGAAAGAAGTTTTTCATGAAGCGCCATACATTTAGAATGTCCGTACCTAAACATAAGGGGCCTTACAAATTTATAGATATAGACAATTCATGTGCCATTTTAGGGGCCCAAATATTTTGGAAAAATTATTTCCTACCAGATATTTGCGATCTATTGACATTTCAGATCACTTGTGTATGGTCCATAGTTCTAATTTGTGTATGAGAATTTATTTTCATCCTCTTTCCTCTTATCTGGTTTGCCATATTGTTCTTTACATGCAATTGATTAAAAGCTTGATTTTGAAATGGTAATGTTCTTTCCTGAAGGGAGTGCAATTGTCTTTGTTAATCCATTATGTCCTTCTTGACCAATAAATTGGAAAATTCTAACTTCTGATTGCAGTATGATCTTGTAGCAGCTGCACCTAATGTTGCTTGTCTGAATGTGACCTCCTTAGCTCTTCCATCAAATGTAACCCAAGGAGCCTGTACCTCCCATTTTTCTCTTAAGAAGTGGGCAATACAATCTACTGCACAGATTGACAACACAACTTTGAGTAATGAAGACAGGAAGACATGGGAAGCAAGCAGAGAAGCTCTGTCTGTGTTTGATTTCAGTGCTGAGGAGAAAGACAAGATACTTGGAAAAGCATTTGGTCATGTCCATTCTCCTTACTGGGGTGAACAAAGAAAACAAGAAGTCCCCAAATTTGAAATTGTTAGTGAGACATTGGATTATCTGAGGAGTCTTGGTCTTACAGAAGATGACCTCTACAAGTTGCTAAAAAATTCCCTGAAGTCCTCGGTTGTAGCCTTGAACATGAATTGAAAACTAATGTGAAGATCCTGGAGAAGGATTGGGGAATAAAAGGAAAATCTCTACAAAAGCTTCTTCTTCGAAATCCAAAAGCATTGGGATATAATGTTGATTGCAAGGGAGATTGTATGGCACTATGCACTAGGTGCTGGGCGCGGTTTTAGAGTCTCGCAATTTCTACAATTTTTGGCACACCAATACAATGTTGTTATCAGTAAAGATCTTATTAAATTTCAATGTATATGATGTTGAATGCAAATTCTTGATGTATTACCAATTAATGTATATTTAATCAAAACCGGAATAAACAGTGTTTCATTGTCTTATAGCATCTGAACTTGTAGTCATTTAGAGGGAAGAAAAAAAACCCCTTCATGACAGCTCCTTTGATTGTTAAGGCAGCCGAAATTTATATTATACATGTTTTTAACCATAGATAGATACCACATTCCGATCGTTGATTCATCTCGTGCCTGTGCATTCCTTCGATAGCAGGAAATTCTGGCACCTGGCCTGGAAGCCTGAAAATACAATATAACCTCAGCACTTGGAGTATGTTCTCCATTGTTTTTTGTTTCTTTGAACACCTGAACGCATATTTCGAACCCAGTCCTGTGATTTTAATGCGTTTCTGATAATTTGCATAGCTCGAAGGATCCAATTTCCTTGAGTTTTTCAACAAATAAAAGGACAATATCAATTGCATGTCCTAATCCCATTCAGTCACCCACTTCTGTGCCCATTAATATCCTAAAACTATCCAGCTAATGCAAAGTTGTATCTCCCTTAATTGTTAAAAAGCAACACGGACCATCCAACCATGAGTAGCAAATCGCAACCTAAAAGAACCCTAAAAAGACTTTAGCCCTTGCTAGAATGGTCAAGTTTAGCATGCTCCTCTGGCAAAAGGTGGTTTCCATTACTCAAAATCTTTGGACAAGCTAGACAACTGCTCAACAACATTTCTTAGAATGTAAAGAAATTAAACAATATTATTTCATCCTAGATATATAGGGTTATATTTCTACATCAGTTGCATTATCAATGCAAGTAAGTTCACAAGCATAACGAGGGGTATAGCAAGTTGAGGGTTGCATGCACTGATCCAACTTGATTGATTCATTTATCACACATTACTTTCACAACTTGTTGCCGGCAAAAGAATACGAACAAGCAATGACACTCATTGCCCTCAAGACAACGGCCATGTGCATGTTTAGACGTATGGATTTGTGGTTATTAGACTAAAGTATACGTATTATACTGTTGTGCGTATGTAAATTGTTTGTGATTAGGAGAATAAAAGCATGAAAAAAGCATGATTGTTCCCCAGGCTCCGTAATTGAAGGATTTGTCTAAAATAATTGTAGTGTTTTTTTTTTCAAACTCACGCGTTTGAATGCATGACCTTTTGTTGTAAGAGAGTATTACCACCGAGCTACATGCTCTTTGGTAAAATAATTACATTGTTGATGCTAGTATTTCAAATCCAAAAGATAAAATTAGAATCTCGTAGCACACTTTTTTTTTTCCTCTTAATATGAATATTTCAAAAGAAAGTCACCTAGGGTTGGTTTGTGATGGACTCGCGAGAACTTTTACATATTAATGGACAACTTTAACTAAAAATCTAAACTATATATTGAGTTATTAATTCATCTTTGTATATCGGTATCTCATTCTTCTCATTACTATTCTTCTTATTCCTAATCGATGAGAAATTTCTCTAATCACGTATGGAACTCAATAATCTCTTTCATATATAAGACCTCTATCCACCTTGAATAGAACTCTCAACCATGGCATGTTGAGAAACTATAAAGTATCTTAAGAGTACACAACCTATTCAATCATTGGAATGATGGTGTTAAAAGTATCTTAACAAAATGAATTAACAATGAAGAAAAGGAAGAAGAAGAAAGTGTAGAAGAGAAAGAATCCAAATTGTATTTTTCTTTTGCAATGAATGAATTTTCCTTAATTCTTCCTTATCCTTCCTTATTAACACTAACCAATTCACTCTTAACTAGCTAGTTGAACTAACTAATTACCAACTCTTTTAGTTACAATAACCGTTGATCCCTTTAACTAATTGGCACGTTAGCAACTATTATAACAATTGATCCTTAATACGAAACCCTAATACACTATTATGTAACAATACTCTCCCTTAGAAAGATTCCTTGTCCTTAAAGATCAAAGCAAAATTCAAGAAATTGAGATTTCGAATCGTATCAAACTTCTTGAGTACCATCTTCCACAAACAAACCACTCCCTTGTATAAGCCCCATTACTTCGACCTAATTGTTCCTCTTCATGATCTTTCTATCTAACACAGCTATGGAAGATAGTTTGATATGATCGTCATCATCAATGGCTAGTAAAGAAGCGTAAACTAAAGCATTGTTGCCCATCTTCCTTTTTGATAATGAGATGTGCAAAACGTAATAGATGAGAGCTCCATGTGATAACTCCAGCTTGTAAGCCACTTTTCCAATTCCTTGTAGAATAGGATAGGGACCATAGTACCTTGGATTCAGTTTAAAATTCTTTCATAGTGCCAAACTTACTTGTCTATAAGGTTAGAGATTTAAATACACTCGAATCCCCCATTTCAAATTCTCTTTTAGTTCTCCTCCGGTTAGCAATTTGTTTCATTCTATGTTGTCCCTTTGCTAACCATTCCTTTAAGGATATATCTATGGCTCTTCTCTCCCATACAATTTTAGCAACAATAGCAATCGAAGATGTCATTTGAAGAGTTATCTCTCTAGTAGGTGGTGGAAAATTGTACAACTCCCGAAAATGAGATATTTAAATAGCAAAATGGAAACTCGGTATTCTACCACCACTAAGCTAGTTGCAACCACTCGAAACTACTTCTTAGTATAGTCCATACACATACATCTCATATAAGATTTGAGATATTGATTTAATCTCTTAGTCTCACCATTAGTTTGGGGGTGATATGCTAAGCTCGAATATAACTTGATGCCCAAATATTGAATAATTCCTTCCAAAACGGACTAGTAAATATCCTATCCTTATTTGTGATAAAAGCAAGCAGTTTATACAACTCCGTAAAATTGCTAAAAAAACTTTTCGGCCATATCCTTAGCTGAAAAATAATGAGATCAAGCTATGAAATGACCAAATTTAGTGAATATGTCCATGGTGTCCAAGATAACATCTTTCCCTTCAAATCTAGAGAGCCGTCAACAAAATTCATTGATATATCTTTCCAAGCACCATTAAAAATAGGTTATGATTGTAGCAGTCCTAGCTAAACTACCCTTTCGATTTAGCCCTCATATATATGTCATATTCTTCCACATAAGTTTTCACCATTTTTTTCATAAGTGGCCAATAAAAAACACTCTTAAGTCTTCTATAGGAATTTTGTACCCAACATGTCTCCTTATAGCATAATTATGAGTTATTTCCACTAACTTTTTACGCAATTCTTTATCCTCCCTAATGGACAACCTAAGTATACCCTTTGAGGAAGTATACCGAGGGAAAACAATAGTATCAATAGCCTTTGCAACTATAATTTCTTACACCTTGTTATCATTATTGTTGGAAGCCATAATATCATTGTACCAAGTACCACAATTATGATCGCATCAAGACTTTCTTTATGTCAACTATGCTTAGTCTCCTTATATGTGAATACTCTTTTAGATCAAGCATCAACTACGACATTCTCCTTTTGTGTCTTATATAGAATTTCATACTTCAATCCTAAGAGTTTAGTAAGTCTTTTTCTTTGGATAAGGGTATGGATCTTCTATTCTAATAGGTATTGAAGACTTTCATGATTAGTCTTGATAATAAACCCATCGGTATCCAAGCGAGTGCCTATATCGATCAATAACCATGAGATCGGCCAAATATTCCTTCTCGTAGATAGACTTTCCTTGATGTTTAAGACATAAAGCCTTACTAAAGAATCCTAAAGGTCTATCCACCTAAAACAATACTTCCCTAATCCTATTGCCACATGAATCGGTTTCCAATACAAAAAGTTTTTGAAAATTAGGCAATGGTTAGATAGGAGCCTTACAAAGTACTTTTTTCAAGTGTTCAAAGGCCTTTTGAGCCTTGTAATTCCAACCAAAACTGTTTTTCTTCAATAATTTTGTCATTGGCTTATTGATTAAACCATATTTTCTATTAAATTTCTTATAATACCCCGCCAATTCTAGAAATCCTTTCAGTTCTTTTATTGATTTTGGAATTAGCCAATCATAAACAACAACGGCCTTCTTAGGGTCGATGGCTACTCCTTAAGATGACATGCTCTAAGTACTCTATTTGTGTATGATAGAATGTACACTTAAACCTTCTCACAAATAGCTTATGCCTTAGTAGAATCCAACACTCTTGCAAGGTGTTTAATATAGAGTTCTAAGATAAGTTGTATATCAATATATCATTAAAGAATACAAGCATACATTTTCACAAATATGGATCTAATACTGTATTCATTATAGCTTGAAAAGTAATAGGAGTATTGGTTAAACCAAAAGGCATTACCTTGAATTTATAATGCCCTTGATAGGTTCTAAATGTTGTCTTCTCGATGCCTTTCTCATGCATTCTAACTTGATGGTAGCCGACATATAAGTCAATCTTGGAAAGAAAAAAATAAGAACCTTTCCATATCCATAACTCTTCACACTTCATTTCAATTCCTTCTATTGCCTTTAGGGATTTCTTAGCACATTAGTGGTCGAGAGCATATTTGCCCCCACATGTAAAACACATTCCCAATCTCCTTCTTTAGTCTTGCAATATTTCTAATTAAGTTTTTTGATATATTAGAATTGGAAGATTTGTAGTGGTCAATGGTTTCGGATCCGTTTGTGGAAGGATATGCTCTTTAGTATTGATTTGAATATGGTTTAGTATTTTTGTAAGTAGGTAAGATTTTTGGTATGTTTCGACTTTCTTGGAAATGGCGAGTAGTGGATTCTTCTTGTCATTTTGCATGGTTAAAAACTTGAACAAGAGTTGTAGGCTTCAAAATTTTAAACATATGTTTGATATCCTCTTTGAGTCCATTGATGTAACCGGAAGCAAAGTAAGATTCTAAAAATTAAGAATTTATTACAACCATTAAAGACTTCAATTCCTCAAACTTTTCTACATATTCCTCCACATTCTTCTCTTGACCGAGTATGTTAAACTCCTCAACCACGGCATTTCTATTGCCAAACCTCCTACAAATCTCCCTAAAAAGCTCTTCCCAATTACCCAAGTCATTACCGACAATAAATCTTTCGAACCATATTCCACCTTTTCCCTCTAAATACATTGATGCAATCTCTATTCATTAGTGAACATGTATAAAATTCATCTTAAAAAATCTTTTCCATTTGCATATCCAACCACGTAATTTTTCTTTCCAATATATTTGTAATTCAACCTCGAAGAATTGAAGAATTGTGTCCAGATTTTAAGAATTCGAGAGGTTAAAAGAGGTTCACCATTTGTTTCTTAACAACTTCAATACTCTTTTGAAATTCTTGATATATATTTTAGATTTACTGTTCGTGCTTTTTGCTATGTTCTTCTAGTGTTCTTATTTTGTTATTATCCACCATGATTATTTATTTGATTTGTCATGGAAGCTCTAATACCAATTTGTTAAGAGTATCTTAACAAAATGTATTAACGATAAAGAAGAGAAAGTGTAGAAGTGAAAGTATCAAAATTGTATTTTCCTTTATGTTACAACAAATAAATTTTCCTTCTTTCTTATCCATCCTTATTAACACTAACTAATTCACTCATAACTAATTAATTGAACTAACTAATTGCCAACTTAACTTTTAATAACAATAACTATTAATCCCTCTAACTAATTGCTATATAAACAACTATTATAATAATTGATCCTTAATACAAAAACCCTAATACACTATTATGTAATAGATGTGAGCTTAACCAACCATGTCATAATTGTCCTAATTGAATGTTCAGCTCCATTACAACTTGTTGAAGAAATATGTACCAAAGAGTATGTAGATTTCTTTGTTGGATCGCATACAAAGTCTTATATACATTGATAAATATCACCTTCAATCCAAAAGTTTATGATGTAAGGTTATGCTTATCTCTCTATATAAGCACAAACTTACTCATTCCTAACCTTGTAATTGGATCTCTTCTTCTTTTAATCTGCCTTATGTTTAGAGGGTGCAAAATTTGATTTGAGTGAGTTTGTTACTATCCAATTAGACTAGTTTTTTTTTTTTTTAATTACAAATTAAGGAGAAGTTCAAACTCAAAATTTTAAGGGAAAACACCAATGTTAGTTGAGGTAAAGGTGATTGGCTCTAACAAGTTGACCACATCAAACTAATAGCCAAACATGGTCTTTGTAATATTTGAATTATTTTGATTAAAGCTCTATACTCATTTTCGTATTGATTGAATCCTTCTACTCTTCATTTTTTTTTATTACCATTAATTTGTTATGACATCGTTACTTTATCGACTAACATGACATGCTACACTCCCGAATATGCGACACATGTCATATGTGAGACCTTAATAGAGGCACTCAATCAACAAAAAAAGGAAATATGAGATTTCAATCAAAGTAATTCATAGAATACGAGATCCAATTTTTTTTTTTTACTTTTCATGTTATTATTTTTTGAAAAACCTCGGTTTGAATGCATAAAATATATCATCTATGAGTCTCCATTGCATTTGATGTGAAGTGGTTTTTTTCTTTTTCTTTTTTGAAAAATTGTTATAATAAGTTAAAAATAATATATACCAAAAAAAAAAAAAAGAACGAATCTAGCATGCAATTATTAAAAGAAAAATATGATGATTTACAATATCGATTAACTACAAACTCCTAGTTAATGGCTCTCATTTTTCATAAAAAATAATTTTTTTTGAATATTCGACCAATTCAAAATAAAAAATGGGATTGTTCTCTTAAAAAAAAAAAACTAAGGATTGTATCACGTTTTTTTTTATATAAATAATTAGCTATCAGCTAATATTATTATTATTTCTATTTTAATTTTAACAAACATATTTGTATTCTATTTTTTTAATTACATGTTAGGCTTTTTTGTGTATTTTATTATTTTAAAATTATTATAATAATTTTTTTAAATAATCTTTATAATGTTACTGTGATGAGATCCTATATATAAAACATTTTGCATTATTTAAGATAATTTTTTTTATTAAAAAAATAGACATTAGAAAAGAAAAAAATAATTTGGTTCATTCATTTTTTGAATTGTTTTGATTGAAACCTCAATATTATTTTTCATATTGATCAAATTTTTCTATTTGAGTCTTATCTATGATATATATTACACTTATAAAAGTGTAACATGTCATGCAGCTCACAAACTAACAACGTTATAACAGAATGACTGTAACAAAATAAAATAAAAAGGAAAAATACTTAATCATTACCAAAAAAATATAAAGCTTCAATCAAAAAAATTTGAAAAATTACGGGACTGCAAAACCTTTTTTTTTAACCATAAAACTTTCCATGTCTGAAGCAATGAATTTTGATATCTGAGTATTTCTTGGTCATTACATTAGCAGCTAAAATTTGTATTAAGACAACAGAACAGGGAAGTTAGCTGGAGATCACACTAATTACGATGTAACTACGTAAAAGGCAACTTCACCTTCATAAATACTACTACAATTCAGGTTCCTAGCACCACAACCTCGAACTGCCTTTTCTTTCTCTATCTCTCTATTTTCAAGTGTTTTCCTGTCCTAAGAAAGTTGGAAATGGCCAGTGCCAAGGCAGCATTTATCTTGGCAATACTTTGCCTAGCCCTAATGCATGAGGTACATGTTCTTAGAGTCTGTTCTATTGTGAACATTAGCAGTACTCATGAATTTTCTCTCATCATTTCTGTTTGTAGATCATTTTCCTTTGATATGATAGTTATCCATGTTTAGTCCTCACCAACACCATACTAATGATCACCCCAGTCCCTTTTCTTGAGCTAGTTCTTGCTCTGCTCCAAGAAAATATTCTTCCAAAAGTGGACTAAAAGGGCCATTATACAGATATAATTTCATTAAAATGTGATCATGAGACGAGCAGTTAAAGATACATGCCACCTTAATTGAGTAATTTTGTAGGGCAATATTAATTAGTGCTTTCAGGACCGATGATTACGTGCTGCTGCACTACGTACTGTTGTTATTCTAAAACTGGACTGGGGTCACTCTACCCTTTTTCCTGCCCTGCGTCAAGGTTTCTTTAATTTCTTCTTTCTTTTTGAGATTGCTCGTTTAAGGTTTCAGGTTTCTCGAAACCTTAACATGGTAAACAGAAAGATCAAAGAGGTTTTATGCCGGGTATCGTAAACAATTTTGAAACGTTGTGGCTTGTACAATCTCAAAAGTTCACCATGCTCTATTGTATGCAATGTGCTGTTGACATGAAATTAATAGGCAGTTTATAAGGAGATAAATAAAAAACTATGTTATACTGGTTGTGCGTATTGGTTCCTGAAGTTTTTTTTTCTTGATAAATTTCAGCTCCAGATCCAGACGGTTGAAGCTGGAAAAATAGGTAAGAGTTTCTTTTATAATTGCAGCCATTCGTTCATGATCTATTCAATTAGAAATTGAATATTTATCCTTATCTCTCTTATTAAGAAAAAAGGGAAATTTTGCTAGAAATCTTTTTTAGACAATTTGGAATTTAAGAATGGTTTGTTAGGTTCTATGCTCACAGTTTTTGAGCATCTGAAAGCTGAACCAGCTAACAAGCCTGATTCTGGGATTACCAACATCATGGATGATATTTGATATATCATGTCTTTCCTTTAATTTCTTTTTAATTTCTTCTTAAAAGCATCTGACAACTGAGGGAATACCATTTTTGGCCCTAAATTAAGAACAGCTCAGATTCTAGTAACTATTCTTAGCAGACAGACAGCAAAATTTAACTGAAATTTCAGATACAAGACTAAAATTTTGAGTCTATTTGGAGTTTGGAACTTTCAATCAGTCATTAAATATTTGAACTAAAAGCATTTTACGCACATCTGTTCATCCTCGAACTCGTAAAAAAATTGACACGAATGATCATTTAAAATGTCTGTTGTAACCATCCAGATTGCAAGTCCAAATGTGCATACCGGTGCAGCAAGGCGTCAAGGCACAAAATGTGCATAAGGGCTTGCAACACATGCTGTCAGAGGTGCGATTGCGTTCCACCTGGAACTTCTGGTAATGAAGATACCTGCCCTTGCTATGCCAACATGACCACCCATGGGGGCAGACACAAGTGCCCTTGAATCAATTCATATTCTTGCAGGTCTTGCTAATCAATATCAATGATAAGCACAGGTTACGTATTTATTATGAATAGTAAAAGAATAAAGCTTGGAGAACACAATAAGGGTTTCTAGCTCAGTCCTTTATTTATACATATCTATAGTTTTCCAAGAAGGGACAAGTCTTAGACAAAATCCCATGTTATTCCGTAAATGTGGTTTCTGGTATTTTCTGTTGCCAGTTTCTTAAGTCCATTACTCTATACTCAGTTGTATCTGCTAATATAATAATATGATCCTACTGCTTATTACATTTATGGCATGCTTTGAAAGATACCATTTACTAGTTCTGCAATGCCACTAACTGATCTTTTTCACCTCGATTTTCAAAAATGCTATGGTATATGACATAGCAGGTCCTTTCTTCTACAATTTTCACATTTACCTGTGATTGTGACTCGCTCTGATGTCATAAAGAAAGGAACAAACTAAAAAAGATTAGGGGGTTTTATGCATTACTAATAGCCACCAAACTTGAGAGGTAACCACTTTACCAGTGCTTTTTAATGCCTTTCCTTTTTTTCCAAGGAAGTGCAGAATCTTTTCCTTTTTCATGTTTCACTAGTTTGAAAGAGAAGGAGCAGATAATTTCGAACAGAATTTGACAAAACACATACGATGTATAAAGACAGAAATGAGTTAATTATTTGTGAGTCTCCCAACTCTGCAACAATTCCTCTCAATGAGGCCTTGAAAATATTCAAGCATAGCTTGATTTTATTCTCTTATCAGGTACACATAGATTAACCAGCAAGGAAATTATAGAATCAACATTCAAAAGGCACTTGAGTATCCTGCTCCGCAGAAACTACATAGTTGCATAAGATTCAAGGGCACTTGGGCTTGTTTCCATGGGTCCTCAGACTTGCATAACATGGGCATGCATTCTTGTTGCCATAGGTACCTGGTGGAACACACCGACATTTGTTGCAACAAGTTTTGCATGCTCTATGGCATACATTCTTTCTTGACGATGCCCTGCATCTCCTTGCGCATAAATAACCACAATCTGAAATGCAGCAATGGAAAGCCAGTGTCAGATTTTAGCTATGTCAATTAACATTACTCATAACGAGACGGGATATGAATGCATTTTCCTTTTCATCTTTCCTTTTTCCCTTAAAGACGAGTAACACCATTTGCACAGAAAATCCATGTGCCTAAATTGCTTCAAACAAAGCATTATATTATCGATTCAGAAATTTAATACGTAACTTGATTAATTTTTGAGGTTAATAACATTTTAATGTGAATGCTTAAATAATATTCAGACTATATAAGTTGTCCCAGGTTCTCGGCTGTGTTATTTATAGCTGCCCACCTATATGGAACATTAGAATGTGCAATTTGGATTCTACTTCCTTAGTAGTTGAGGGTTTTGGAGGACATATAATGGCAGAGCCTGCTTAGAAGGCAGAGGATTACAGTGCTCAAGTAGAATATGTTCACAACAACTTGAGGTCACACAGAGACCTCAAAGAGATAGGTTTACAAGAGACAAAAAGCTTACTGATTGTTTTAGGATAATGTTTCTTATCAATAGCCACTACATCACCTTCTTCGTCCATCTGCATCCTCAAAGTGATATTAATTACCAAATGAGAAATATATTGAGCAAAAGAAGGAAAATAGGCTTAAGAACAGAAAACTTACATTAGCTGGAGAACTTGCAGCATTTCTGAGGACTGAATTCCCTCCAAAAACCTGCAATATACATCAAAGTACAAGTTATTACAATTAACCTCGAAACTTGAAAGCTTTTCTACATTGTTGGTAGAATTTAACTGCAATATACCTGGAGGAGCAGGATGGAGATGATAAAAATCAAGACTGGCTTCATCTTAATGATAAGGTTGGTGAAATGTGATATGAGAAGTCTATGGCTTGGGAACTTCCCGATACATATATAGAAGAGAGAGGCTGATATATAGACAATAGAGTGGGCTGTGGTTAACTTTCTTTTTAACCACTCGCATGAAATGATTATGGTAAATCACAGATTTAATGTTGAGTGCAAGTTGGGAAATGCCAAAAAAGACTAGGATCTCTTTTTTGGAAGCTTCTTTCACTTTAGTTTCTTTGCTTTCGCTATGGGTTAATAAGCACAGCTGTTGATTCTTTGGACGGTGGTGTATGGGCATGAAGGAAAGAGAGCGACAGATTGAGGATACGGGACCATCACCAGTGAGGCAAAATGTCTCATGACCTTGATGCAGCTAGCTTGCAAATGATGGAGACACAAGTGAAGAGGCACCAGCACATGAAGCATGCCATACCTACCCAAAGAGTCCTAAGAAGTATCGCATTATTGCATGAATTTGTATGCTTTCCAAAATGTTGCTGGGTTGGCATTAATTATTATGTTTTTGGGACTCCCTCTCTCTTTGATCTTTATCACACACACACACACACACACACGATGCATGTCATCCTCATGCAACCTAACCTTTTGGTACGTCCTAGTTTTCATATATGAAAGGATGTGTTCTACATTAGCAAGTAGCTTTGAAAGCTGCAAAATAAAGAAAAGAAACGATCCAATTTAATTTTTCAAGCTCTCAAGGCAGAAACGAAATGAAACAAGAAATGGCAGGGTTCAGAAGTTTCGTAAATCTAAAAATTGTAGACTGACTTGGTGAAGATCATTGTAATCTACTAGTAGTTGGAGAGATGCTTTATCAATGGCACAAAATTAGAACTCCTTCCTTCTATTTCCATCTAGTGGAATGGAAATGTTATATTCAGAGCATAGATCAAATCGTTCAAAGCACAAGTTGCTCATAACCGTAGTAACTGCCTGCAACAGACATCCTCATTGCCAATTGAGGTCAGGCAGAAACTCGCAGGAAGCAAATTTATCAAGCTCAATGTACAGCACTGAATAAGTACCTAAATTAGGTTGGTCAGAGTGATTAAAATTCAGAAAGGTCAAAGTTGCAGCCAAAGAACAGCACAGATTACTCGTAACAAGAAATTGAAAGCAGACTTAGTCTCCGGTGGAGACTACTACTACTACAGAACTGTAAATTGCTATATTTATATATATATATATATAATCCTTCTAAAGAAAGCTTTAAGCAAGTAAATCTGCTCACGCACAGAAACATATGAAACATTTACCAAAGAAAGCTGAAAAACCTAATAAATTCACTTGACAGATTATTAAAGTGCATATCCAAAAATATCTTCTGAATACACATGATATTGGAAAAAGCACGCCATTGATTCCATAAAATTGACCAATATCGTCCAACAAGAATGGAGAACGAATCAAGAACTTCTAGTTCATAGCATATTTCTGGGTCCAGCTTCGAGCTGTAGTATCATACTTGACTCTATCAGTCGTGTAGATGTGAGCAATCTCAGGCACCAGGGGATCATTAGGATTTGGATCTGTCAATAGTGAGCATATAGACAACAACACCTGTGGAAAAAACATAAAAGAATAGCAAAAGATTAACAACCATAGAGTCCAAGACTAATTAGTTGAAACCATATAAAATAATGCAGCGTTATTTTAAATTTCAAGTTTGAGAACTGAAAATAGTGATAGAGACCTTTGAAATTGTCAAGGCTGGACTCCATTGCTCCTTTAGAATGTCCAGACAGATACTACCATTGCTGTTGATGTTTGGGTGATAAACTTTTGTCTTAAAAGAGACCTGCACAAAGTATTTCATTAAACTGTAAAATATCTTATTGGTATAAGCCAGTACATTTTGTTCTCCAACGAATAACAAAATATACAATGTTGACAAGAACAATTCTTCCAAGTGAACTTAAGTAACATTAAAGTGACCGGATCACTAATGAACAGGGGCATTGATTGGTTTTCATTTTCGTGGAATGGAATCACAATACTGCTGGCATGTGAGGTGACTAGATCACTGATAAAACAGAGGCTGTAAAAATCCTAAGGTTAATGACATCATTGAAAAGAAAACAGAAAGGCAGATTTGACACATCAGAATATGAGGAACTGTACATATACCATAGATTTGCTCGCATCAGAATTTGACCGTTGTGTGAAAAAAGAATGAAATATGCACCTACGCAGATGGAGCACTACATGAATGATGATGAACGCATACATATCCAGTAAAATTTTCAGGGACATTCTGATATGATGAAAGGTCTATTATAGATGGACAGAATCCAACGCTTAAGCTTAACATCTCTTCTAAACAAGAACAAGAGTTTCAAAATGTAGCTTAGGACAAACAATTGAATAAGTTACATTAATTGTAGACCTTGAACATATCACATACAAACAATGGTGACTACTTTTGTTAATACCTTGGGTGGCTTGAATGGGTAATCAGGAGGGAAGTGTATGTTAACAGAGAACACACCCCCAGCATACGGGCTGTCAGCTGGGCCCATAATTGTTGCTTGCCAATGGAATATGTCATTACCAGCAGGGCCTGCAATGAGTCAACATCATAATTACATTTAAAATCAAAATAAAAAATAATAATTAAAAAAAAAAAAACTCATATGCTCTCTTTTTATTAAAGAAAAGAAGTAACAAATTTGTTTTAATTCAGGAAGAAAAAAAATAGAACAAGATTATAGACAAACCTGCACTGCAAGCAGTAGGAGGATCCTTCTGTAAGTCCTTCAATTCCTTATTAATTCGTTTTGCAGCCATTGTTACTGTCTATGAATCACTCCTGAAAGAAAAAGGCACATAAGTAGTTAGCATTAGAAAAACGAAACGTGATAATCACAAGTCACAACTTGTGCTTTATCAAACTGTGATCTTCTCACAAAGTAATAATTAATGACAAGGGGTCGAAACACACTTTCACAGTGAAATATAAAATACAGTAAGGATCATTTAGAAGTGTTGATACAGTTTCTTGTTGACAAAAAGAGGCTGACAAGGCAGCCATGACTGAGGAGCAATCATAGTGATATCACAAATAATCTTTTAAGAGGATTACTGCATTAAATCAAGAGCACGTAGACCCACCATTCAAAAAAAGATTAAAAGGTAAAAAATTGATTAACCATGACACATACACAACAAAGAAGGTTATATAAACTGTAACCATATAAATAAAACAAAAGGGCTGGACAAGAAAGAAAACCATGGCACATCTCACTGTGTCTATTACTTGTAAATCCTCTCTCAACTCTAAAAATCTAGATATGAACCCATACATACACGCACTAGATATAATTACTTCGGTTCTTTTGCTTTTGAATTGGGAATCCACCAAGTGTTTTTCTGTCCCAAATTAACACACCAAAATGCCCAAAAAGAAAAATCAATTCAACCTCCACTGAAACTCAATCCCACTTTAATTGGAATCACTCTGTTTATGCTAATGCCCAAACTTCAATAGGAACTTATCAAAAACATTTATCTCTTACTTATAATTTCCAAAAGGCTTGTAACTCAATGGTACTATTGCAAAAGAAAGAGTGGCAAGCTCTCTAGTTCAAGTCCCATTGATCTAAATGAATTAATAAATCCAATAATACTGAATAAAATTCTATTATACGATTTGCCTAGCGATGAAGGGCTTGCTTTGAGTTGTGTTTCGGGTTAAATTCCTAACACCTAGTGAACAATTCTATGTTTGCAATTTGCAGCCATCCTTCTAGACCACAAATCAATAATATTACAACAAGGGTCTCATGGGTCCGGGTTTGCACATCCATAGTGGGATTCCTCGTGAAATCAAAAAAAAAAAAACAAATCCCAAATTAATTGAAATTGGGAATAAAGATATCCTTCCCCAGATATTAAACAATCTATCAAAATCAACCCTGTTCAAAGAACTCAAAATTATCAAGAAACACAACAAATCTCCATGTAAAAAAAAAAAAAAAACCCTAAACCCTAACCAGTCACATTCACTAACCAAAACAAGGAAACAAGATCTAAGATATGCAAATAAAATTTAAAAAAGAAATTGAATATGAAAATTATTTAATGATCTAACCTCGAGTTGTTGTTGTAGTCAGGGTTTCTTTGAAGATAAAGATAGCAAGAGATACTTTTGAAAGAAAATATGGAATTGCAAATTCTTATGTATCCAATTTTACGATGAGGATTTGGTTTATATAGGGTTCATAAATTCATTTGCCCTTACAATTCCTTGCCATGCACGTGTCTTTTCTTTTTCTTATTTTTTCATTTTTTTGAAATTTTATTGCTTTTTAGAATGTTCTAGATGTGTCAGCCATAGTAGGTCCCATTGGAGTATTGGAAGATGATTCTTGATGTGCCACGTCACTCGTCAGGAAAAAAAAAACCGCTCTTTTGATGGAATAATTTTTCTTTTTTCTTCATTTTTGTTATATTAATGTTAGTGATGATTTACAAATTCCAAGTAATATAAGAATTCTAATAAATTCCGCATATTATGTTACCATTATTATTATTATTTACTTATTTATTTTGCCCTAAACATTATCCGGACATACTAAATTGAATTTATTATAAACATAAGAAATTTTTAGTATGAAACATATAAATTCATGATTTTTTATCATTATAAATTACTTGCGACCATTAAATTATAAACATGCCATTAATGAGATGGCATGTCTACACATTAGTGGTCTTATTTATGAAAACATATGCCAAATTAAACTATTTGCATGCATATTTATTACACCAAAAAATCAATTGAGATCTTCTTCTTTTTTCTCTCTTTGTTAGATCTAAATCATTAAATTTTAAAATAAATTATCATAATTTTACCATTTAATATTTTTTATGGTAAAATCTAGATCATTAACTTTAAAATGTACCATGAAATTTAAAACATGAATGGTTATGTTTTTTTTTTCAATAGCAAAAGAGGATTAAAAAATTTCCAACCCGCCAGCTTTTTTGAGAAGTTTCCAATGTATATTGTATTAATCCTTGTTTATAAAAAAAATTTAATTTTATACCATAAAACTAAAACGAAACATATAAGCTTCTAATGACAAATTTATTGATTAATATAGGTAGTAAATCAAATAAAACTAGTAATCTCTTAGAGCATTATATTATAGAATATAATTCTCCACATGTTAGTAATTATGTAAGACAAGGGAAGAGAAATTAAATATAAATTAAATAAAAAACTTTAAATGAAAAAATTGTAGAATGTGTTTATGGTAAATTATTATTGTTTTAACCAAAGAAAATATCGTATTATAAGCTTTCATTTAAGATACATAATGCATATTTTTTGTTGAACATAAACAAGGAAAATGTCTCTAATGTCATATCAATTAATTTTGAGATCCTTTAAGTTGTTTAAATGTTTATTTTAATATAGATGTTGAATTATGTTTCATTTTTCCTCTCATTATTCTTTAATTAATTTCTTTCTAAATAAAACTATCAAATCATATGTTATAATCTATAGTATTTTTTCCTTCAAAAATCGAGTATGGTTAAGAATTTCAAATGAATATGAATCAAGTATGTAGAATATCTTAAATATTTAAAAATCAACGACAATAAAACTTCTTAAGATTTTTTACTATAAATTTTGAATATTAAAAACATGTGTGATGAGCAACTCATACATGAAGGCATCGGGCATCAACAAACTAATATACGAAAATTATCCATATGGGCATAGGATTTGATGTATTTGTATGAGCTTCTTTTCTTTTCTTTTTTTATTTTTTATTTTTAGGGGGAGGGTTACCTAGATTTGGCCTTTGTGCTCTTTCAATTTTTTTTTTTTTAATTATTGAAACCTCCTAGAATTTTTCATATTGATTAAATTTATTTACTCTTTATTTTTTTCCCTATAAAAATCCTTTCTTCTTGACGTCGTGAGTTCGTACGCCAACATGACACCTTTCTATTAAAATAATTCTTCTATTTATGAAATTATGTACTTAAAGAGTAAGAAAATGAAAAATAAAAACACATGAAAATTAAATTTTTTATTTAATTAGGTTTGTTTAGGTTATCTTTTTATTAGTTAATTTACTTTACTTTAATCATTAAATTTTCATCTCAAATGATAAAATTTTAAAAAATAGACGAGTTATGGGATTGTGGGTTATCAACATTTAACTTAGAGTTCTAACATAAAGGTGCCATGTAGGTATACAAACTCATGGTATTATGACAAAATGACCCTCACAAAACAAAATAAAAAGTAAAGGGACTTAATCAATATGAAAAAGAATAGAAAGCTCTAATAAATAAAATAGAAGAGTATAAGGATCAAATTTGAATATAATTCTTTTCGTTTTATCTAATCTTCAATTTGAAATAATAAATAAAAATTGAAAGTATATGGTTCATGGATCGGAAATAATAATCAAGTTCCTCGTAATACGAGAGGGTCAAAAAATCAGAGTTGTTTGTTTATAAAATTTATAACAAATATCGGTACAATTTTAGGCATTACGTTTTGAAATTGGTAGTTGAATTTACATTTAAATAAGTTAATTTTTTAAAATTAATTGATAGTTACAAAGTTGGTAAAATTCTAAATGAAAATATTGATCGCATTCAATCTCTATCAATAATATCGTTAGTTGTGAGAGTGTTACGTGTGCTTTCTATATAGTTTTTTTTTTTTTTTGAAATGATATACCATCCAAAATTATTGGTCTTTAAAGATTATAAAAGCTTTTTGTTAATGATTTACTCCACAACTCTTTAGCGTCAAGTTAATGCGAGTACGACAGTTAAAGTTGTATAAAAATATATGCAAAAGTGCATTATCTTAACCAAGGCCTATAAGAAATTTTGCCAACCAATCACTGTGTGGCTAGCATATGCACACAAATAATGGGAATTATTCTCATGTAAACAAGAGTATCTAACTTTGCTAATCAAACTAGTAAATCTTATTCCCAATTCAAGCCATAATCCTAACACATACATGTACGATAAGAACAACGAGTAAGTTACACTAGCCATCTTAAGGTATCATACAATTATAAACTAGTCAAAAAAATATTACAAAAACCTTTTCTTTTTTTAAAAAAAATCCAAAACGCGCTCAATGATAAGTGAAATTATTCGAATAACTTTTTTTAAAAAAATATTAAGAGTATTTTGGATACAAATGAGGTTTTGATAATATTCACTTAAACTTAAGAGATAGATTTATAATATCTCTCAAGGGTATGCGTGTGTGTGTGTGTGTGTGTGTGTTTTTTTTTTTTTTTTGTAATTTACCCAAGAACAAAAAGCATATGATAAAGAAAACTAAAGAGTTAGTGCGATAACTAAAGTGATGTTTGATAAAACTAAAAATTAAGTACTAAATATGTTAAGTATTGAATATTTTGCTGACAAATTGTTTGGTATTTACCGAAAATTAAATACCGAATATAATAAAGGTGTTTGATAAGTGCTACTACTCGAATATATTAAGGTCTGTATACATGAGAATTTTAACCTTGCAATCTGTAATATGATATTTTTTAACACAAATAAAAATATATACGAGAGATGTGTTTGTGTGTGTAAATAAATAAATAAAATTTTAATAAAAATAATTATTAATAAAAAATTAAACACGGTCTAAGATAGCATTAATTGTCGTATTATGCACAAAATAAACAAAATCTTAAGTACGAATCAATTCATTTATAATTTAGTCTTGTAAATTAATCATAAATGTTTGATCGGTTCACGCATAGTTTCAAAATTCCTCATCATAAAATCATGCTTGGTCCCGTTGGTTTTGGGAAATGCCTATGGTGAATCAATCAATAATCGTATCTCTTTTCCCGATCCTCTCAATGGATTATCTCGCTACTAAGTTTTTACGAAGGGGATGATCGAGAGGTTATGTTTGATTATATAAAATATACCCAACAATAAAAATTTTCAGCACAAACAAAATCCGTTTTCTTTTTTGAACTCCTTTTGCATTTTCTCAATCACGTTTTATGTTTCTCATTTACGTAGTTGAAGCCTATATTTTATTCCAAAGACTTAGGCATTGCTCCATATTATAATCTAAATGATTTATTACGTGTTAGTAGACTATAGGCTAACACACATTTCTCAATATATTTCTAAATAAATTTGAAGTGATAAGATGGCATCATAACTCTTACTTATTTATTCCGCCTAGAGCTATTGTTTACACTAGTCAATTACGTTTTGATGAACTTCCTTGACAAATGCCACTCTAAACACACTAAGGTCGCAAAGTTGGATTGACAAACATATCTACTTCTCAATGTCAATGTGGTTCTAAGTAATATGATCCGAATTTAAGAAGTAGTATAATATTTAAGTAGGAAATTAAAAAGAAATAAAAGAAAATATAACTCGATCAATGATTGGAATTGAGGTGAAGCAAAATGATGATGATTATCTCTCTCTCTCTCTCCGTCGGACATTTTATCAAACGATTCCAATATATTTAACCACAAATAAAAGAAACCAAATGGATGGAAATGGATTGGAGAGAGGCAATTAATTTCGAACCTAGTTGTTTTACCTTTTATCTCTCTCTCTCTCTCTCTCTCTCTCTCTCTCTCTCTCTCTCTATATATATATATATATATATATATATATATATAAATAAACAATGGATCACACCATACTTATATAAGAGATCACCATTTATATTCAAGACTAACCAACAAACCTAACACACCACCAGTTATTTCTTTTTTTAAGTATTACACAACACAATACCACCGGAAAGATGAAGAATAAGATGATACCTAAGTAAAAGAGTAGGACCATCAAAGACTAAACAAAAGATCTTTTTTCAATTGGTTTATATAGCTAAAGTTATAAGAATATATAAGGACTATATAGTCATATTTTAAAAATTTTAAAAATCTTTCAACTAACCGTGTTAATAAAAAAGTTTTAAGTTAAAAACTTTAACTTACCTAATTAAGTAGATTTTGACTGAATTTAAATTGTAAATATGAGATTATTTAGATTATCAAATAAACGTTTTATATTAAGTACTATAACTTAATTTGTTAAGCTACCTAAATAGATTATCAAACACGACGATAGGAGAAGAGCCTACTTCTCATTTAGTTATTGGCCTTGAAATTTCAAGTATGATAAAATTTATCTTGATTTGATAAAAATTTATGAGCATCTAGCAATTTCTTGTCGTGAAAACTATATATGTTTCACATGTGCCAAATAGAAATGATATTTTAATCAATAAGATGAGAAAATTAATTATTAAGCTATTCATTTAAGGTTCCGTTGATAATTGAGTAATGGTTAGGAGTGTAGATCTCATGAGATTACAATACTAATATGAGATGCATTGATGTGGTAGTCAATAGATCAACATGTTGCTCGTCGAGTTGATAAGCATGTTTGTTGTAACTCAATTTTGACCCTTCTTGTTTTTACAATTCTTTTTTTTTTAAAATAAAAAATCAAACATTTTAGTCAATTTATCTCTTTTTTTTTTAAAAAAAATTAAGTCTTTTTTATGAATTCTATTATTTTCATAAGTTTCGAATAAAAATAACCAAGCATGAAAATAAGTGAAGAAAAAAATCAATGCATAAAAATAAAAAAAGAAAATGACTTGAAAAAAGAAAAAGAAAAAGAATTAAAATTACACAAGCTACCCTATTTTAACTTGACCAAGCTTAATCTAATTTTTCAAGTTTAGACTAATTCGATTTAACAATTAAATGATCCCTAGCTAAACATCCTTACTTTTTCTAAAATGAATGAACCTAGACAAAAAAGTGTCTATGTTCACCCTTTTTCTTGGTATAAATAGAAAAATCCAAAAAAAAAAGAAGTCAATTTATAATAAAAAAATATAAAAAGAAAATTGAAAAACTCACTTCTCTCTCTTCTAACCCCTTTTTTTCCTCTCAACTCGTTTTCTCTCTCTAGCAATCAACGGTTTTTACTCAAATCCATGACGAAAACCATACTAAAGTTGTGCGCTACCACTCTAACTACCTTCTCTTGCTTGTGATAACAATGAAAAAAGCGGAAGAGATCGGAAAAAAGGCATGAAAGAGTGGCGGAATTGGTTAAAACCCTAACCTAAACTATTTTGTGATTCTTTTATCAAATTGACACTTGTGATGGCAAGAATCAAGTTCCATTAAGTCTTGGAAATTGTTTGAGATAGTTTTTCAGCCATAAAACTCACCACTTTGTGTGCTATAAAAGAAAATGAACAATTGAGACTTCAAAAGTCAATCTCTTTTCTCCAAAAATGATTTTGATATATTGTTGTCGGTTTGCAATGTTTTTATTTTATTTTTGTGATGCTCGTTGTTGATTTGTCAATTTTTATGATTTTATAATTTACAATATCGTTGTCGGTTAACTCATTTTTGTTGATAAATAAATTGTTTTTAATATATTTTCAAAACGATTGTTAACGTAACTTTATTTTTGCAAGTAAACACATCGAGTATGGATCGTTTGATCCCACGTAGGCTCGTTGAGTATGATTAAAGACTTTCAAACCTAATTGATGATATGATTGAGTTTTATTTTATTTTTATTTTTCTTTGGAATTAATACCCGTTTATTCATAAGGCTTTTTGTTAGCAAAATTTCAAATCACTCGATTGATTAGTTTTAAATTTCATAGCAAACACTCTCAAATAGGCATAGATAATTTAAAATAATAAAAATAAGAATATTGTTTAGATTTGCATGAGATGCAACCTAACTAAGATAGAATGTTGATTGGTGATTGTTATCATTTCTTCACATAACCAATCTTTTACTTAAGATTTTTGAGCATACTAGTTATTTAAATTTTTCAGTTATCTTTAATATTAGATGACAATTTTATTATTATTTCTTTATTTCAAACTTTTCCTTTCAATGTCCACTTACAACAATGCTTATATGATATATAATTGATCACTATATATCAATATGTCACTTGACTATTAACATGACAAACTATATATTAAATTATTGATTACTACATCAACAAAATTGAACGTAATAATATGTCTTAGGTTGATATTATAGCATCATAGGTTCATGGTATGCGGTCATGATGAATCCTCAAAATAAATTCATTAATTTTCGTTGGTCTAGTAAGGCCTTAAGAGTAAATTTTGAATTGATTCCTATTGTCAGAGAAACGAAGTAATTAGTCCTCTCTCTTTCAAAATTATTCATGTAGTTTCTCATTTTTTAATTACATCGATGAATTAGTCTTTTTATTAGTTTTCTATTAGATTAATGGTTTTTGTTCTTAAATTTTCTTTATTTTGATTTTTGATTGAATAGAGGGAAGGAAAGTAGGTGAAAAAAAAGCATCAAAGAGCAATTTGAAAAAAAAAATTAATCTAATGAAAAACTGATGAAATGACTAATTTATTGATGAAATTAAAATATAAAAAATAAAATAATTAGTTTTTAAAATAAAAAAATTTAATCTATTTATTTCTCAAAACAAGAGGGGTCAATTTATAATTTACTCTAAGGCCTCAGAGAAGAAGAAAAGAAGAGAAAAGAAAAGAAAAGAAAAGAGATTTATTTGAGTTCAAAAGCCCAGTAAAAACGAGACCTTAGGGCTTAGGTGACGAGTTCTCTTGATGGGCTTCATATAACAGAAATCTCCCTTAACTAATTTTGTTTATGAAAAAGAAAAGTCAAATTTAATTGCAAAAGGTGAAAAAAAAATGGGACGCAAAACGAGGAGGAAGCACAGAGATGACACCCCCACATCTTCATCAAGCTCCTCCGACGAAGACACCGACTCTTCCAGCGAGAGGAAGCGGCGGCGGCACCATCGGGGTAGAAGTGAGGGGAGTTCGAGGAAAGAGAAGGAGAGGAAAAGAGAAAAAGAAGAGAAGAGAAGAAGAAGAAAAGATAAAGATAAAGAGAGGAAGAGAAGGAAATCGAAGAAGAGAAGAGATTATGAGTCCGAATCGCCAGCATCCGGTACCGGTTCGGAGGGGAGGGAGATTGAGAGAGTTCGGGTTAACCCGGGAGATGTAGTTAAAGAGATGTTGATTGCGTTTCCTAATGTCGGTGGTGACTTGAAACAGGTACTTCTGATTTTTTAAATTTTTTTAGTAAAATCTGTGTTTTTTGAGTTATTTCTAGTGGGTTTATTACGGGCTTAATTTTTATGGTTTAAAAATGAGAGATTATATATATTACGAAAATGAAGCTTTTATCACTGAAGTGTGTTCTTAGAAAGAAAACGTAGCTTTATATACGAAGTAATATTACAGTGATTGGTAGTGAAGAATGGTTTTAAAAATTACAAGAAAGTGGTTTTTTCTGAAATTATGAGTTAGGGAACTTTTTATGAATTTTTTTTTTCCGAAGATTTGAAAGTCGTGTATGGACTAATGTTGTGTTTTTTTTTTTTTTTTTTGGGTGGAATCTTTGTTTTTATTATAGCTTCTGCAAATGATTGATGATGGACAAGCTGTTGACATAAAAGGGATATCTGAAAGGTCTTTGATCAAGCATTTGAAGAAACTTTTTATTTCGTTAAATCTCAAGGAAAATGGTGATAGAGTTTTCTTGTTGCCTCCAAATGTTTGTCCTACTTTGGAGGTTATTGGACCCCTGATCGAAGCTCGTGTGGAGTCCAAAGAGCAACAGCTCGAACATTCTATTACATCAAATGATGTGGATTCTATACCACCAGATGTAGAACATAAACAAGAAACAGATGACAGTCATGTGGCAATGCCATCTTCAAGAGATGATGCTTCTGCTCCTAGGAGAAGGTGATAAACTCTCTCTCTATCTCTCAGGTTCATAATTATGTTTGTCTTTCATTCTTATGCTTAAGAAAGAGGTCAGTGATCCTAACGAAAGGGATTGGTTACTTTTTCACTTCCTTATTTAGTTGGAGCAGTTTCCCTCTAGTCTTGTTTTGCAGAGGGAGGCTCTAAGTAGCCTAGGGGTTAGAAGCTGGTATTCTGATATCCGAGAACCCTCTTTAAGGAAAATCTCGATAATCATGGCAAAGGGAAATGTTTATGTTGTTTCAAAATAGTTACTGTTATTCTTCTTGCCTTTCATAAGATGGGATGTCGGTTCCAGAGATTTTTCTGTTCTCTGATTTTTGGTTGTGGTGTATAGTCTTACCACTTGTTCTTGTTTCCTTTTTTAACATTCAAGAACGATGAATTTGTTAATTCAGCTGAAGCAAGTAGTCGTGAACTCTCTCTCTCTCTCTCTGTTTTTTTTTTTTAATAGTAAAAGCCATGTATAGTTGAGTTATATTGATTTGCTTTTATTTAACTGCAGGGTGATTGGCCCTGAAATGCCATCAGCTGAGTTACTTGCTGCTGCTGCAAAACTAACAGAAGCACAAGCTGAGCTTAGGTATTTCATGAAATGTTTTCTTCAGTAGATACTTTCTTTTTAAGAACTCCTGATGTGTTTGCACATAATATGTTTTGGTTTCGAAATTTTTATCATCTCTGCTGACATATAATGGCAATATTTGTTCTGTTTGTGTTGCCTTTCTGTTAAATGTAAGTTGATGTGGTGCCTAAATGGTGTTTCTGATGTCCAGAGAAGCTGAGTTGGAGGAAGACACTGAACTATTCATAGGACCTGCCCCACCTGCTATGGTTGCCGAAGCTGCATCAGCAAATGAAGCAGAGCGATTTGAAGAGGTGCTTTATTTTACCCATAATGCAATCTTCATCATATTTTAGCTGACTTTCCTCGTGTATGATAGTTTACGTTATTACTCATAGTTAATTTTTTACGAATATTATAACATTCTAATCTGGTAATATTCAGGTTGTCTTTGTGAGCCATATAAAACACAATTCATGAATTAGAGCTTTTTCCTAGCAGTTATTTTAGGTCTCAAAGTCTCTGGTCATCCTATCCTCACCCTGTTTGGATAACTTCAGAAGTAGAAAGAAGTTATAAGTATCAATGGAGATGATTTTTCTCTCTTTCTCTTTGATATATGCTTCATGCTCCTGATCTTGTTGTGACCTTCAATGATGACATTGCTTTAAAAAAATGTGTATTTCTCTTTCAAAATCTTCATTTTCAGCTGTTGTTCTCATGGAACAAACATGGGAAAGGTAATTCAAAGAATTGTGGGTTTTGCAGTTTGGATGTATAGTTTGCTTTTCTGCCATACACTTGTGCTAGTTGTTTTTCTTTTTGTTAGAATCTATCCCAGTGCTTGCGTCATTGGTAATGTGTTGAGAAGCTGGCAGCTGCATTTAAGCAACTTTTTGGCTGCATTCCTGTTTACTATAATTGCTATGTTGCTATTTATTTTGTTAGTTTGATGAAGTTTCATCATTGAAACCAAGGGCTTTATTTTGTTATCATGTGGGCAGGTTTCATATCCATAAGCACAAGAGTGATTTGTTCAACGGATTTGATCTTTGATTTGAATTTCACAAAATGGTCATGACTTAGTTTTATGGGAAATCCTATAAGTGTAAAAGCATAATGTTGATGCTATATTGAATACGTTTTTGGGCTAGATGTGTTGTTTAGATCTAAGTCAATGGAGGAGTTGAAATATTTGTATATGTTTTACTTTGTCTTGGGTGCTCCTTGTCTGTTACTTTTAGTTAAAAAAAACTTATATTTCAGAGTTTCGGATTTAATATCTATGATTAAGCTGCAGAGATAGGTTTTTTTTTTTTTTTTTCTTTTTCTTTGGGGTAGCAGGGTGGGGTGGAGCAAGCATACCGAGATAGAAAGTTCTGTGTACACATGCAAAGGGTGGATCCAAAATTTGGATGTTCGGGATGAAAGCATTTTTTTTTCTTATGAGAGGTTCATGTAAGAAAGTGAAACTTTTTTGAAATATCATTTGAAGTCAAGGGAGCGTTTAGATCTTTGAGGGGCCTCTGACCCCTGCCGTGGATGAAGCAATTTGTTGTCAGTATCGCCTTTTTTCTTCTTGATGTTCAATTTTAACAAACTTTTGGTATGTCTACTCTCAGGAAATAAACCTATCTAAAAAGTTGATATCAGGTCCTAGGTTATAGTGCTGGTAATAAAAAAATTAGGAAAGGAGTTTGTTTTCTCTTTGATGTAATTTTTGGTATTATCATTCTTGAGTTTAGTATGGTTAGTGACCGTTTAGCTCATTAACTTTCACTTCTACTTGACCAGGTCACAAGAATTATGGACGTTGTCGGTGACTCTCTGTATGATGTTGTAGGAGTGAATCGAAACATGTCTGCTGAGAACATAAAGAAAAGGTAATGCTGTTGGTTATAATTTGCATGGATACAAAGTAAGATTTCCACAAGTTATTATGATAGCATATCGTCTGGCTTTGCACTAAATTTGTGAATAGTCTATATGTATGTATGCATGTGGATGCTTGCATTCTTTTCCTAGGCCGCTGACTTGTGCTTTTATGACACTAAATAAGGATGTGAGAGTTACATAAACCATGACTTGAAACCTATTCTGTAAAAGGCAGACCTTAGCTTTTGATATGGTTTGTCCCTCTGCAACATTTAGCAGAGAAATAAGCACGAAAAATATTGGAAAGAAGTTTTTCTGTGAACAGTATTTTATTTGATTTTGTTTATTTATCATAAAACAAGCCAATTTTGTGTTCTAGTGTTTTTTATTCTCCTTCTGTTTCTTGCCATCATTAGAGATCTATAGGTATGAATAGTAACTAGAACATTTATATGCGACTAAGCTGTTCAGGTAAGCATGATTTCATTTGAGTGACAATTATACTTTCATTGGAAAATCTCCAAAAAATTGGTAATCGTTAACTTTCAGAAAGGACTTAATGTGTCCCTAATATAGCTTTGTGTTTGACTGAACTTATTATTCTATTAATATAGCTTTGAGCCTGACTCAATACATTATTAATGAACCACATTAGCATCTCCTTAGGTACTGGAAGCTGTCACTTTTGGTGCATCCAGACAAGTGCTCTCATCCTCAAGCCCACCAAGCATTTGTCAAATTGAATAAAGCTTTTAAAGACCTACAAGATCCTGAAAAGGTAAATTTCTTACATATACCTGGTTTCTATGCTAAGTTTTATCATTTTATATCTTATACACATGCTTATTTTTTATTTTTATTTCTTCCTCTTTTGGTAAGAAGCATAACTAGGATCTACGCACACCTCATCGACCTTTCTACTGTTTATTACCTGGACTATTTTTCCATTTCTCTAGTTGAATTCCTGTGATGTGATGCATTTCTTTTGTGCATTATGTCATAATTGTGGATTTGTTTATTGGTGTGACTCTTTTTTTGAATGTGTTTTGAATGGATTTGTATCTTGCTCACATATTCACTTGCTTTTTTCCACATCCTTGTCTGCTTTTTGTAGAGGAAACTGCTGGATGATGAAATTAAACGCAAGGAGGAACAGGAAGCATTTAAGGTTTGTGAGTTAAGCAATAGTCAATGTCTTGCTGTAGTTTCTCAAAATCATTTGGCAGCTAATGATTTCTACTTCCGTAGGCTGAATTGCGAGCCATGCGTGAAGCTGCACAATGGAGGAGATTGCAAGGTGCTTTTCTAAGTAGTCTGCAAATAAGTTGTTCATTTCTTTCATAATGGCCGGGCTGAATCTACTTGTGGCTGAATATATTATTTAACCCTTTTTTTTCTTCTCTCTCTCTTTTATTTTTTCTGAACTGGACTTCAGGTGTGAAGATAAGTCAATAATGGTTATCTTTGAGTGAAAAATTGATAGTTTGTGCATTTTTTTCATTGAAAAAAAAATATAGACATTTATATACATACACATACAAAGCATAACTAATATTTATGACATCTAGAGGATGTTGATAATGCCATTTACTTACCAAAATGCTCTTTCTCAAATTATCACAATTGGGTAGGAGTTCTCTGAGTAAAGGAACACTTCTGTGCTTTCTTGGAAATGTCGACTACTGAAATTCTCTTATGTGATTTAAATATTTCACTGAAAAAGCTAGATTGCTTCATGCTTTCTCTTCCCTTTGCCTTCTCAACTTAACTTTTTTTTTTTTTTTTTTTAATTTGATGATTATTCTGTATGTAGGTTTGTCATTTACTCAATTGCCCGACTCAGCGATTTGTTGTTTTTAGTTCTAGATTTGGCTTCTGTTGAATTTGGGATCTGACAGAATTGAGGACCATTTGAACTTTGAGTCTACTATCAGTCAATTACATGACATTAATGGAGTTGGATATACAAACTTACCTACAGTAGAATCAAGGCAATCATGAGACTCGGAATAACATCTTTTCGGTTTAGGTGTCATGGACTTGGTGTTGAGAAGGCAATCAGGGAACCCATAGTACCATGATTTAACTAAATATGTCCTGCTAAAATTGAATTCAACTACACCATATTGGTGGAACCCACAGTACCATGGTTTAACTAAATATGTCCTGCTAAAATTGAATTCAATTACGCCATATTGGTGGGAACGCACAGTACCATGATTTAACTAAATATGTCCTGCTAAAATTGAATTCAACTACACCATATTGGGTTTAGCTGTCGTACTTGGGAGATCATCCTTGGTTCCATGTTGCTGCGTGAAAGAATTTTGTTTGTTCAAAAGCTTTAGGAATCAGTTGATTTCGATAGCTTGCTGGTCCTTGAATAATAAAAATTTTGACTTCTGAAGCTTCTCTCCGCGTCATCATCTGTAATGGGTGTCAATGCTTGATGATATGTCGTAGCATTTCATCCTCTGAATTCTGAACGAAAGTTAATGATATCTGTGCTGTGGCAGGTATATCTATGGAGGGGGATGATGAACTCCTGGCAGAAATTGAAGTTAAAGTAGCACCAACCAGGGATGAATGGATGACAACATTGCCTCCTGAAAGGAAAGTAAGACCTCCAAGACCTGTTCTTATCTTGCCTCTGTTGCATGTCTCTTGCTTCTGCTCAAGAGCCTTGATCTTACTCTTTAATACTGGCTTGCCACAGTGTGTGCATTGTTTGAACACATATGATGACAAAAACACTCGTGGCTGCATTATTTTCTGATTGTGCAAAGCTTGTGCATTGAGACCTAATTATCTCCGTTCTCTTGCTTAACATTTTGAAGATTGTGACTCAGTGTTGGACCCATTGGTCCTCCCATATTACAAACCACAATGTCTTTTGTTCTTCCTCTCTTACCAATTCTACATAATGTTCTTTTGAGCTACCGGTAGTTATCACAGATTTACTGTGAAAATAAGGTCAAGTTGTATGCTGTTCCTGCAATTACCACGGGTGAGGATCTTGGAGTCATGTATTGGAGTTTCTTGTAAAATGCTGCGACGGATTATTTTACTTATGCTGTCGTGCATTTATGCTTATTTCTTTCTTTTAAATAGTTGTATGCCACTGCCCTCCAATCTAGTTATATCGTTTCTCTCTACATTGAGGCCAGTGTTTCAATTCTAGAATGATGTTGTGGATTTAATCTCTGCAGTCACCAGAGCTCCAATTTTAAATTGCCGAATGATAACCTATAAATTTTTTTCTTTCCAGCCTGGTGGTATGCCCATGCAATCTAAAAGTTTCAGCAAGACCACTAAAGAAGGACGTGGTGATACTAGTGTTTGGACAGATACCCCTTCAGACAGAGCGCAGAAAGCAAAGACGAAGTATGATTATTATTTATTTATTTATAGTTAAAAGAATGTCCTGATACATTTTGTGACACATGGCAGTTACTTGGAAGCATACAATGAAGCCGCAGCACTTGCTTCAAATGTAGAGGAAAAGCAACGGGCAAATGCAGATGCAGATTTGGTGGATAAATACAATAAAGCTAAACGATCTAAATCTTTGGTTCAAAAGCACCAAGAAGACGCCTCAGCCCGTTCAAAGAAAAAATCCAAGCAGCAGCCAGAGAAGGAAGAGTGGGCAGGGCAACATCCATGGAAGCCTTGGGATCGTGAGAAGGACCTAGTAGCCGGAAGGCAACGTGTAAACTTGGATTCAGAGAACATGACTCAGGGTTTGTCTTCCAGATTTTCATCAGCAAATTTTCAGAGGAACTTCCTTTAATCCACAGAAATCGGGGTTTTATCTTTTTTTTGGATTTTGGAAGCATATTTGTTTCCTGGAAGACTGTTCAACTTAAGCCTTGTTGAGATTACTTGCAATTCTTACAAGTAATCTTTAGGTTCATTCGCAGAAAAGAAAGCAAAGAAAAAGTAATCTTTATGTTGTCCTGGTGTTGGTTAATATTTGTGAGTTATCTTGTCACAGAATATTGTCATTCATTTCCTACTTGCAGGGCTCTCTTCCTGGATATACGAGGAAAAGATTTGTAAGTATACAAATCTTATTGTAAATTACTCTCCAGGTTTCCTGTTTACTACAATTAGACAATTCAAAACAAATTCACAAGCTATTAATGATAAATGGCTGCCCTGTATTTTAAAAGAATTCGTCTTAACTCTTTGAGTGTTAGTTCTAGCAAGTTATGTTTCTCATGTTACTTTTGGGTTTGAAATTCAAAGAGGGTGGCAGGAAAGATTTTTATGATGAATGTACAAATTTGTGTATGGATGGTCTGATTAGAATCTGATCAGGAAATGATTTAATTTTGGTGTGCAAAAACTATTCTGGGTGTTCTAAAAAAACTAGTTTGAAGATAATTTGATTGTTAAAATAGAAAGAGGATTGATTTGTCAATAGACCTAATGGCAGTAAAATTTAAACATAATGTAATGGTGACTTTAGGTTTAATTTCTTTCTTTTCCAGCCATAAAATCACCAAAATCTTCCCCATATAGATTCTTTAGATGTGTGATTTGTTCGATTGTTCTTAGATTTGATCAGTGGACTGCATTGCTTAATTTTATCCGTTTGATCAGTGGAGGCTTGCGCTTTCGCGGATGATTCGTTTATTTAATTTTTATTATGATTTATATTCTTACAGCATTGTTCAAATTACAGGTAAAATATTTGAATAGAATTAAGTTATTTTATTTTTCGGTAAAATATTTGATAGAATTAGGTTATTTTATTTTTCTTTTACATTCTTGTAGTTCTCTACTTATTGCTGGAATAATTTTATGAAAATTTTAACAATGACATTCTTAAGAACTGCATCAAATGAATTTGTAGTGTTTAATACCGATGAAGTCTTTAATTTGATATGTTGCCTTTTTTTTCCCTTTCCTTTGTGTATCCTCTTAGTTTAGTTTGCTACTAATTGATCGTTGTGGGTTGAGTAAAATATATAAAATCATTTGAAAAAATAATTTAATTTTGAAAGGTTGTACTATATTATAGGCATGATAAAATATATTGAATTAAAGGTAAAAAAAAATCATCTAATTTTATAATTTTTTTATGTTTTTCATAATTTTTGTAGTTAAAAATCAGGATTTGTTATTTTTTGTATATTGATTTTTAAATAAGAACTTGCAATAATCTAAATAGAATATTTAATTCAAAAATTTTAAAAATACCTTAGTTTTTTTTATAAGATTGCATTGAAAAAATAAAGTAACAGTTAATATAAAAAAATTATATCAAACTAATAAATTAATGTTTTTTATTTTTATTTAATTTTGATGAGAATATTATTTTTTTAAATATGTACATTTGATTTATATATATTTATTTATAAAATAATCAATAATATTAGTATAAAAAATTGTATTTGAATCATTGAATGATTCTCTTAAAATATTATTTTAATTATTTTATTTCACCGAAATTGATTTTAGAATGTTAAAAAAAATAATAATAGCAAATGATTGGTGTTATGTATGTAAATACAAAGTTAATTTTTAATAAAATTAATTATCTTAGTTTTTTATATACGTAATTGACCATAATTAGTATGTTCATAATGTCCAAGTATAAACAAAAAAATTTTTGATAAATAAATTGCAAAGAATATATTAAATTTAATAGATTGAAATAAAAAAGCTACAAATTTAATTTCGATAAATTTTAATTATATAAAGAAGAAGCAAATAAAACAAGTGAATTTAATTTTTTTAATTGATTTTTTAGAAGGTTTGAGACAAATTATCTAAAATTTACTTTTAGTTTTTTAACTCTCATTTAAAAATCATAACAATTTATCATATGAACTATATCAATATATAAAAAAAGATAAAATAATAATATTCTAAAATTTTATTTAAAAAATCATAATTATTAATAAATCAAATTATATAAAAAATATATAATTAATTTCATGAGAATTTCTATAAGAAACATTAAATAAAAAATCAATTTTAAAAAATAAGAGTAATATAATTCAATATATATGTTCATTAAAAAAGATACAATAATTATATTCTAAAATTTTATTCAAAAATTCATATATAGAGAAAAGTAAATCATGTTTATTAACAAACGACTTTATATGAAAATAAAAAATTAATTTATGAGAATTTTCAAAAAAACAAAAAATAAAAAAAGCAATTTTAAATAATAAGAGTAATACAATGTGGTATATACGTTTATTCTAAATTTTAAAAATATAGCATATATATTTCATCCTCGTCAACATGTGTGAAAAATTAAATAATGATTGATTTTCTATAATGTTTGCATCTGATTCAATAATAAAACTAATTAGTAAAAAACAAAAGAAAAGAAATTGAAATGCATTTAAATGTGCGCGTGCGCACACACATACATATAATCGAATTTTTTTTTATAAAAAGTTGTAATATACTTCTTTCAATTATTTTTATGCCTTAAAATTATCATGAACACACTTTTCTCATAAAAATAAACAATATGAATGTAAGATCGGCTATAAAAGAAGCCAAAATTAGTGCCAATCGTGACTTTTTCTATCTTCTTTTTATATTGAGGAACTAAATTGCAATATAAATAAACTTAAAGACCAAAATAAAATTTTTGAAAACATCATATCAAAATGTACTATTTTTAAAAAATCTGAATATAAATTCTTTAATACAACCTAAAAATCATGAAAATACCATTATATAATGTACATTAATCTAAGTAAATAGTAACATAATAGTATTTTATGAATATGTGAATAGTAAATAGTTCAAATCTTTTAGTATTTTTTTTAATAGCACTTCCTCTTAAAACTATTGTTATAATTTGGAGTGATTTTTTTATTTTATTATTATTATTATTTTTTTTTGCGGTGTTGTGGAATATATTTTGTAATATTTTATTTTTATTTTTTATATAGTGTTATAATGAGGGGTGGGTAGTTGAATTCAAAATGAAATATTTCATGTGCTGATGTTTGTTTGTTGGCATCTACTATTTCCTGACTTTAACCTTTTTTTTTAAAAAAAAAAAACTTATTTTATAGAATTAAGAAGGCTTTATTTATTATTGACATGTGAAATGTATACTATTTTATGTTGTGGCCTTTTATTTATTTATTTTATAAATGGTCATAATAACCTTATTTTTCCTCTCTCATTCAATTTCTATCAAGTTATGTCAAGTTTCATATAGAAGTTAGCAAATCTATATAATTTTTTTCCTGATATTTCTTCCTTTTCCTCCAAATTATATATATATATATATATATATAATTTTCAAAATATTAAAGAGCGCACAAAAATTCTCAAAAATTTATTATATTATATTATATTTTTTGAGATAACATATTTTCATAAATTTTTCTTGACTTAATTTCTTTCTTTTCCTCTGAGTTTCAAATTTCTTTTATATCTTAAATATTAAATATCGTTAAAAAATTCTCAAAGTTTCTTTAATGTTTTAGCTTTTTTAGACTAAAAAAAAAAAAAAACTTGCATGCCTATATGGTATTGAATTTTAGTCATATTAATTCTTCTATTCAATTTTGATCCATACTAATCCTTCCACTTTAACTTTTAGGATATGTTGATCTTGCCGTACATCTCCACGGGGTTTCGTTAGTTTGACTTAATTCTATTAGTGGAGTTATCATTGACCAATAGGATGATGACACATGACAAGTAAATAATTATCTAAATAATAAATAGAAAAAAATCATTTAGAAATATTTTTAATAAAATAAAAAAAGGAAAAGAAGGATGACGATACATTGCATGTGAATAACTATCTAAATAAAAAATATAAAAAATCAATTAGGAAATTTTTTAATAAAATTAAAAAAAAGGAAAAATAAGAAAAAAATCACTTAGGAATATTTTATTTTTGGGTTATCATTTTGAAATTAATTTTTTTCAACAAAAAAAAAAATTTCAATCAAAATTATTTGTAATAGAGTTAATTGCATTTCCAATGTATTATCGTTGTCAATTTTTTATACTCAAGTGTATCTGTTTTAATATTTGTTCTTTGAGTAAACCAAATTGCAATATGAATTTTTATTTTATTTTTGGGTTATCATTTCAAAATTAATTTTGTTTAAAAAATAAAAATAAAAAATCAATAAGAGTTAATTGCATTTCCAACATATTATGTTTTCAATTTTTTCTAATTAAGTGCATATACTTTAATCTTTATTTTTTGAGTAAATCGAGTTGTAATTTTTTTCTAATAAAGTACGTTCTAGCTTTTTGTCAATAATGGCACTTCATCCCCCTTCTCTCTCTTTTTTACGATATCAAATTTAACTATAGGTCCCATTCATCGTTGTCAATGTTGTCCAACAACCAAATTGCTTTCTTGGGTGTGTTTTTTTGGGGTGTATTATGTTTCTTAGAATAGATGGACCAAGGATTCATTTGATGGCAATTTTGAAAGGAAAGACTAGTGGTGGTGGATATGGTAGTTCAATGGTGGTTGGTGGGATTTAGTGAGGATGTTTTGGGGAAGGAGATGGTAGTGGCTAGTGGAGTGGGTTTTTGATGACTGGAGGCGGTGGTGTTTTGGTGGTTGCTCGTGCGGGAAGAGAAGGAGAAGGCTAGCAAAGGTGAGAGAGGAAGCACATTGGTAGTGTAGAAGAAGGGATTGTTAATGGGCAATGGTAGTTTGGTGGCTATAACGATTTCGGGAAAGGAGATGACGATTGTGGTGTGGAACGAGAGGTCGGTGAACAAAGGACTTTTATCTGTTTAATTTTTTTCAATTTCCATGTCATTTACACATGT